TACGGGAAATGGAAGGAACACACAGGACATCATTTAAGTGAAATGGGGTGGTAGAGGAAGAAGAGAGTGATGTGGAACCAACATGTGTAATACTTAAACCTGTTCCATTACCAATAACAATCTGATCAGGACCATCATAGGTAGTGGAGTCCGGGATGTTCCTGGAGTCAGAAGTGACATGGTGAGAGGCACCCGAGTCGAGCAGCCAAAGAGATGATGCTGAGGGGCGGATAGTGGTGTGGTTGACCATGGGTGGAGCGGAAGAAAGTTGAGGGCAACGTTTTGCACTATGCCCTTGAGTACCACACCATTGACAAAAACCACGATACCCCGTAGTAGAATGACGATGATTGGAGTTGTGGTGGTTAGCACAGTTAGAGTTGTAGGTGGTATTTGTTGTTGGACGTTGCTGGGAGGCTTGTGTGGCCCTGAAGTCACGCTGGAAGGAGCGGGGAGCTTGAGCAACAAGGGCAGTCATAGGAGTAACAGCAGCTGGTGGTGCATCCCGTTGGAGGTAAGTTTCATGTTCAATGAGTTTGTCATACAGATTTTCAAAGGAGATGGAGGTATCGCTAGCTCGAACAACGGCAGCGATTTCTTTGAAGACAGGTCCAACACCATTGAGGACGTGTAAAACAACATCATCGTCGGAGAGTGGAGAATCAATGATGGCAAGCTCATCAATGATAACTTTGATAGCTTGTAGAAAAACTGACACGGGTTGTGTATCATGACGCATGAGTGTAAGACGTTCTTTGAGGTTGAGAACCCGAGAGCGTGTTTTGTTGGCGTAGAGCTTGGTGAGCTTGTCCCAAGCCTCCTTGGATGTTTTAGAGGAGGAAATGAGAGATATAATCTGTTCAGAGACAGAAGCTAAGATAGCATGTAGTAGCAGCTGATCTTGACGAATTCAGAAGGTGTAGCACACAGTAGAGGAGGCAGCAGGACGTGGTTTTGATCCATCAATGTAACCCATCAGGTCATACCCAAGAAGCAGGGCATTGAATTGAGCTCACCAGGAAGGAAAGTTGGTGGGTGTGAGTTTTAGAGGTAACTGAGCAGTAGCGTTAATGGTGACAGGGGTGGGCTAGGGGGGTGAGTTGGTGGATTCAGCCATGAGGATCGGAAAAAAATTGCTCGATGGAGCTTTGTTGCTCTTGATACCAAATTAAGGTGAGTATAAAATGTATATTGTATTTCTATGTTATGATTTACAATAGAGATGCTCTTTATAGGAGCCAAATGAACGGACAACAACTAATGGAAATAGTAAAGAAAGACTAATGGACAATTAGTGGACTAGACAAAATTATGAAAGGCATGTCTAATGGAAGTACTCATGAAAGGCTAGTGGACAAGCAATCAATGTGTTGAGAATAAGATTCCCTTTTATGGTGTGGGGTCCACATTTCTTATGGAGATCTTCGTAACTTCTCAGTCTGGAGAGAATATGAGAAGATGGTTTTTGGGGTGAAACTTTTCTATATAAATTGGATTGATATCTGCTCAAGCAAGAGGCTTCATCACATCCAGGAGCAATTAGTCCATCTTGTAGCTTATCTTTGGGCATGTGGGTATGGTTAGAAAAATCATACTCTGCAGATAGCAATTGAAAACATTACCTTGTTGTGCCTTGGCCCGTTCATCAGTGCGGAAACGAGATTCAGATTACAACCTCACCAAAACACACTCAGTTGAACAAAATAAAATACAAGAAATAAAGACATCGAGAAATTTACGAGGTTCGACAAAAATCTGCCTACGTCCCCGGAGAGATATTGCTCTTCACTATGAGAATAACAGTACAAGTACACATGAGTTAAATCAACATAACCCAATCCCAAATCCCTTGCACACCCACTCATAGAATTTTCCCAAGAGCCTCACTCTACCCCAAGAGTTCTTTCACTAGAATACTTGTCACTCTAGCTCTCTTGATTTTCTCTCACCCATGCCCATGCTTTCCCATGGGAAGAGCCGAATACTCTCCCCCTTAGATGCTCTCTTATACTTACCCTCTCACTCGGCAAGCCTATTTATCCTTTCACTTATAACAACAAAAGAAAATCACCTTTGAAAAGACCACAAATCAAGGGCTAGACATGATGATGTCTCCTTTTTTCTTTGTTTCTTTAGCCAAAAGTAGATGTCTCCCTTTTCCTTTGTCCCTTTCTTTAGCCGAAAGTAGCTAACACTCCACATGGTTGAGATGAAATTGTTGCCAACTCATAATTATATGAGCCAATCACAACAATCTCCACATTGGCGAATACACCATGCAAAAATCCTTGCATACATTGCCAAAGCCTCCATTGGCCTTACGTACCAGCATACACACCCTGAATCAACCTCGTTGGTCCTGTTCCGATTCAGTCACTGCCAATGCATGTGCAGCTGCTACAAGCTAAAAATCACCATTTAGCTTTAGACAGGATCTCGACACATCCTCGTCTCATTCAACAGGTTTTCCTCCTCTTCATTGTCTGCAACCTGAAAACTCATCAGCGCGCCCGTTTCCAACAACAACCCATCGAGCCAGACAAAATTCCCACACTTCCTCCTACCTCAGGACCATCTCATCACCTGTGAATCCCATAGCTCCACCTGCTGCAAAACCCATGCAACACTTGAGACTAAACATCACCAGGAGAAGTGTTGCTTCGAGTACCTAGAGGGCATACTCGAAGCCTTATTCCACAAACTTGCTACAACCCGGCCTTGCACCGTAGCACTGTGGATCATTACCTCCGGAACCAGATCTGAACCTGTTGTCTCTCTTAGATCCTCTTTCCAATTTTCTTTCACGATTCCAGCCTTGAACAACTAAAGCAGTCTTGTGCCCACCATCATTCATGGTCATCTTCTTTTGTGTATCATTCCACACCAAAGAAGCTTGCACCTGCTCCAAACTTACTGTATATTTCTATGCAGTAAAGTTTCACAAGGTTCTCGTACGAATCTGAAAGTGAGGTAAGAAGAAAGAGGCCTTTGTCTTCTTCCTCAACATCAACTTTCGCAGTTGATCCAAGCATCCCTGAACACGGCTTCCATTTCTTCAGGCTTCCATCACTCTCCTTTACCAAGAGTAAAACCGCCTCTCCCATTAAACTGCTCAACTGAAAATTCCATGGTGAACAACAAATCTGGACCTCCAACGAACCAAAGCCTCCAACGATGCTCTGATACCAATTGTTGTGCCTTGGCCCGTTCATCAGTGCGGAAACGAGATTCAGATTACAACCTCACCAAAAACACACTCAGTTGAACAGAATAAAATACAAGAAATAAAGACACCGAGAAATTTACGAGGTTCGGCAAAAATCTGCCTACGTCCCCGGAGAGATATTGCTCTTCACCATGAGAATAACAGTACAAGTACACATCAGTTAAATCAACATAACCCAATCCCGAATCCCTTGCACACCCACTCATAGAATTTTCCCAAGAGCCTCACTCTACCCCAAGAGTTTTTTCACTAGATTACTTTTCACTCTAGCTCTCTTGATTTTCTCTCACCCATGCCCATGCTTTCCCATGGGAGAGCCGAATGCTCTCCCCCTTGGATGCTCTCTTATACTTACCCTCTCACTCGGCAAGCTTATTTATCCTTTCACTTATAACAACAAAAGAAAACCACCTTTGAAAAGGCCACAAATCAAGGGCTAGACATGATGATGTCTCCCTTTTTCTTTGTCCCTTTCTTTAGCCAAAAGTAGATGTCCTTTTCCTTTGTCCCTTTCTTTAGCCGAAAGTAGCTAGCACTCCACATGGTTGAGATGAAATTGTTGCCAACTCATAATTATATGAGCCAATCACAACATACCTAACTCTAAAGGTTGGTTTAATAAAAAACGAGCAAAGGTATGAAAATTTTCAATTCGAGTTATTTTCTTTAGGGACACTAGTTCTGCTTTGGTAAACTGTTTGTTCGGAAGCAAAGGTAAGAAAATAATAATGCCATAGAGAAATACACAATAAAATCCTTACTTATTTTCATCTCAAATAAGCAATAAAATCATATCGAAGAAGCTCCCTTATTATATTGGATATTCATGCAACGAAAAACAAAATATGGGTCATCTACAGTAGCAGAAATATTTCAATATGATGGAAACACGACTCAGTATACCAAATATGATTGATTGGTTCATTAGGATATTGGAACACATCATCCTTATATCTAATGAAATATTTCAGTGTGAAAAGGCTCCCTTCTTATATTGAACCAGGGACACATGAGTAGAAAACTCATCATCCTAACCACTAGGATATTGGACCAAGTGCCCGAGAAACAATAGATTCAAATATGATTGATTGATTCATAATATAATCCCCCATTGATAGTAACAAAAGTAAAACAATGAACACATACCAATCTCACAAATGGAAACCTGCCCATATTCTAAACCTTCTAAGGTCATCTCCAACATACCCGGCCATGGGGCCATAGACTAAAATATAGCCATTTTTGACACGAAAACCTTCTCCAATCGATGGCTAGGCCAAATGGCTTGTTGGCCCCACCGGGCCATAATCCATCCACTAGGCTAGATGATTGGCCAAAAGGAGCCGGCTAGCTAGCCCATTTGCACCAGCCCAAACCCATGCTAGTTGAGGTCATGTTACTGTTGGATTTGAAATTTTATTTAGACAAAATTTAAAAAAAAATGTAATTTTTTTTCTTCTATAAATACCCAAGTCATTTCTACACCATTTCTCACCTCATTTTCACCATTTCATAATATCTTACTTCATTTTATTTCAATTCCTCACCAAATTTTCACATCCTTTTCATTATATAAAGATAAGAAATATGAAGGCTTATTCATTTAGCGACAAATATCACTCAAAATATGTTCGAAAACCTTATTTTAATATGGTAGTTTAATTCAATTAAAATAATAAATTAATGAGGGGGCTAAAAAATAGCCCCATTCGGTTGGAGATGGGTTTTTTGTCAAACGGACTATGTTTTGGCCTATGCCCCCCTCAATTGGAGATGATATAAAATACGATATGGCACTGTTTATTAAAAAATAATTTATTACAGAGTTATACGGCTAAAAACATGCCCCTTGGCCCCTTTCGGTTGAAAATGGCCTTCACCCCCTTCTGAAACTGCCAATCCAATCCCACTCCTCTCCCCATCTCCAACACCTCTATTAACTTGTAGATAGGAAAAAAGGGGAAACTGCGCGATAAAGCTGTTCAGCTTCGAAGGGTTTTGAAACACATCCATCCATTCCGCACTTTGTGCATTCCTCGTGGGTAGACTGAATTACATCAGCAGTCATGGCCAGAATGGGTACATGCCATGCTCGAATATTTTCATAATCCTCCACAGAAACGTCGCCATGGTGAATACTGCTGCTGATATTGCGTTCCATGTTACGTATTCTCCTTGTAGATTCAAACCTGTGGGGAAGAAATGAAACTTATTATTATAAATGCAGTGACCAAATTAATCCAGGAGTCAGGATAGCTAAAACGGATCAAAATTACCAAAAAGGGCCAAGTTACACCCGAAAGAGAGATTTTATGAATTAACCAAGAAGACTTGCAAAAACTGAACTTGCTAAGAAACCTCGCGCATTAAATATTATTTTTAGATCTTAAGTTTTCTGACATTCAGCAAGGTTTTCAAAACTGAAATCTTTCAAAGGTTCAAAACTACAAGCATCACTCACCCATCCATCTCTGGCATCTGGATATCCATGAAGCAGGCATCAAAATGGTGGGGCGGCATAAGCAGTGAGATTGCCCTTTCACCACTGTCTGCACAGACCACCCATGCCCCATGCTTTTCCAAAGCAGCGGCAGCTACTCTGAGATTCACATTATCATCATCTATAATAAGAATTCTTCTTCCGAGCAGAAGATCGCGGAGAGACAAACTTGGGAGCTCCCCGTTCCGGAGATTTCCCTTACCAGCTCCCATGGCCCTTTGCAGTGAGGCAGCGAGCGTGCTTGCCATGAGAGGCTTCTTGATGACAGTTGGTGTAGGGACACCTGAAGTTGCAGAGCTTATTCTGCATGAGCTAATAGAATTGGTAAGAATAAACAGGTTCGGAGGAACCTGTCCAACAATTTTCCTTAAATTACGGACAAAGAGAGCTGAAGTTCCCGAATCTTTATCCCAGACTTCCTGTTCGACAAGGACCATATTGATAGTTGTACTCCCACAGCTTATGCTAGATAAACCCTCATACAAATCAGAAACTACTTCAACACGAATTCCAAGCCGTTGAATATGATATCTTGACATCTTGGCCCTAACAGGTCTTTGGTCCACAACTAATGCCGTCATGCCATTAAATTCTGAGGATGCAGCATTTGACCGGCTGCTGATTTGCTGGATCGTTAACTCATTTGAACTGGAGCTGGCATTGGTGAAAACAGCAGTAAATGTAAATGTGGAACCAATCTTCGGAATGCTAACAAAGCCGATTTCCCCTTTCATGAGGCTGACCAAACACTGGCTTATCCTTATCCTTATTTCAATTCCTCTATCTATATGTCCCAAATCCATAAAAGGAGTTAAAAGAAGATATTGGGCTTCTAGGGGAATCCCCAATCCTGTGTCCTCAACAGATACAATAATATGGATGAGGTCAGGTGACGATGAAAAACGGCTCGCATCTTGACTGAAACACCTAAATCCGCCCCAACTGCGGCGTCTATCTGCAACGGGGAAATGACTCAAAGTGTTCTTCGATGATGATTCAGTCTCAACATCTGTTGAGCCAATCAGCTCTTCGACAAGATGAACCGTGACAAAGATGTGTCCCTTCTCTGTGAACTGTAAATAAAATAACCAGTGTCATTGCCAATGCCATTTATACAGAACGCAGTGTCTTAAATGGATTTAATTTCCCGTATTTAAATATACAGTATATGAATACATAACGATATCCAGGGGTACATTTATCCACTCTTATCATTTTACTCTCTTTAACAAATAGTTGAGAACCCACTAGACACTTACTTCGATTGAATTCCACATGAGATTGGTGATAATCTGCTGAAACCTTCCGGGATCACCAATAAGCATATTAGGAACCTGATCTGAGATGTATACCGCCCACTGCTCTCCCGAAAAATTTGGTCATGCAAATTTCAGAAGTTCAGTTATTAGACAATGAAAACTTAGAGCTGAAAACCACACATAAAACAGTGGAAGATGTGTTTTGTTCTGGGGAAGTGGCAGGGGTGGAACCTGTTGGAAAAATAGGTTGACTACTCATTATATGGCCATCACAAACCTTATATCCATGCATGGAAATTATTTCCTTTGAGAGTAGTTGTTTTCCAATGTTAAGTCTTCCAAACATATATGGGGACTTACTAAGTAATTTGTCTATGCTTGGGTAAACTCCCCCACATTTAAGGTATTTATCGAAAATTCTTTAACCTTTCAATACCTTAAAATACCATTGCAAGAGATAATCTTTATCTCTTTCTAGAAGCAAATTACTTTTACATTCTTTTATGTATATTTCATTCTAAAAATAGCTAAGCCACTCCCCCACAATTCACACACATTGCAGTTGCTTTAATGCTATTAATAATTCACTTTCATACTTTAAGAAGTAAGAGCATGTGAAAGATAAGTTCTCCGTCTATCTTCACTTGCGAAGCCCTTCAGCCTCACCAACCCTTCTAATTAGGAGAATTTGGCACTTTATTTTAGAGGCACCTTCATGATTCTTAGCACTTAGAACTTTCTAAGTTCTCATGGCTACCGCCTTGCTTTGGATTTCTCAATTCGTCAAAGTAGGCATTGGCCTCCACAATTCAATTGTCATATTTCTGAATTCTAATTGCCTTCTTGTTACACATGAGTCTTCTATGAATATGTGAGTCATTTCATCAGTTATATAGACATATATGCAAATCACCAATATGGAACCAACGTTAATTGTTTCTAATATTTCATAATATACAATCGGACATCCCACACATAGAAATTGGGCATCAATATTATATGCATCCTGGGGTTTAACATGGCATACGTCAATATGTGAATCAACACTACGAAACAAAACTAATCAAGTTCTGTTTGCTTGAAAATGATCAGACCAGAATGAGAAAACCATTTCACATAACATTATAGCAAATTAAACCGTAAACTTGTCTTAAGATTGTTGGAAAAATAGGGTCTAATTGCTATATTAAGTCACATGAAAAATCAAGAAATAATTCATGCAATTATATATCAAAGTAATGCATACACATGAGTAATCAATGTTAAATAAACATGATATAATGGATTAGAAAAACCTAGAAAATACGGTGGAGGCAAGTGTTGGACACTTTGTCCTTAAAACAAGTTTACGCCCCACTACGGTATTCATGGTTGATCGGCGCATGTCTCCTTGTTGACCCTAGAAACTACAAAGCCTACGTGGCGCGCAGGCCGAGTAATTAATGAGCTAACTACGTCCTTCGGTGAATACGGGGCCGAGCTCGGCCGAGGAGTAAATTTGTTGATGTTGCGTTGGGTCGCGCTACTGACTTCTGCGTCTTGCGATTGCGGCCGAGAAAGGAACACGTCTCGACCTCTTGGGCTCTCGAACTTGAAGACAAGGTTACTATTCTTACGAAGTTCGATATCAAATTCGGCTTTCAATGTGCCGAATGTAATAACTGTAACACCTCACTTTGCCGAGAAGGCTGATGAGATGACCTCGACCAATAAGGATTTAGAAACCCTTCCCTTCTCGACCGAGACTTGGATAGGTAATCAATCGTTCTCGCCGCAGTGCTGTTGATGCCAACGGAAGATACTGCGAGACCGACTGACTCTACGGTGACAGAGCTATCTATGCCGACTTAAGATATCACCGGTTGCTTCCACAGTGCTGTTGATGCCAACGGAAGATGTGTCAGCGAAAAAGGAAAAAGAAAAATCACAAGTTGTGAGAGTTTGCGCAGGGCAATTTTGTATTGATTTGTAGGGGGCTTTTCACACTGCACAGCGCCTTGTATTTATAGCAGTGATTTATTTACTAGCCAACCCGTGCAATCCTGGCCCAAAGCAAAACACTCCTCCGAGATAATTATCATAGAAGCCTTTGTCATCATCTTGATATCCTGAAATAGTTGGCGACTGCAATTTTGCTTGTATTGAGACTAGATACACTAGTCTCCTGATAAGACTCGTTCTTAGAATCGTAGTCAACTTTAACTTCCCAGGCACAACGCTCCATATCTTATCACCCATTCAGCGGATCATCTTCGATTCTACATGTACAAATTGCATGGAAAATGGTCTCTCAATTCCCTACGTACATGCATGAATCCAATCCTTTTATCTCCAAACCCACGTGCACCACTTGGAATGTGTGTAACATCAGGATTACCACTTGGTCAAAATCATCACCAATCTTGTTTATCAAATCCCACTTGCAGCTTTATCCCATTTATTTTGCATAAAAACCGAGATAACTAGTTAAGAGATAAATATTATGATTAAAAATAATAATATTCTCTTAACAATAATATCTTAACTTTCTTATCCAACGGTTGAGAACCGTGCTTACTCAACGGCATCGACCGCTTAAGCCGATGGTGTAAAATCGGGTCCAAACATTGCCCCCCAGTTTCCTTGAGCTTCGGCTCGTAAGCCGAATGATTAAGGAAATTAAGTCTCGTACCCACCAAAATCTCGTGGTATCGCCGAAGAAGATAAAAATTTATCGGCAAACGAAACACACATCATGCTATTAAGAACTCATAGTTGAGCAAGTGTGGCCGAGAAGGACTGGGGTCAAGCAAGTGCTATGTTTTATAGCATGATAACAACCTTTGGCCGAGGTCGGCCTGCTTATATATATATATATATATATATATATATATATATATATATGTACTCCCCCGCATGGCATGAATTGATATGCACCCATACATCCATTGAAGCCTGCACGCTCTGTCGTCCATGATACCCAAAGCCACATCCTGTTTCAGTCTTGGTTGAAGCCCGCGGCCAGTTATGTCCCCCAGTTTCAAAAGTTAAGTTTAAGCCCAAAGACTTGGTTACATAACTTGGGAAGTATTTCTCGACAAGTACGCCGAGCTCGGCCTAACAAACTCTCGGCAAGCAGCTCTTTTATATATACTCATCCTCGGCAAGATTAAATCTGATCCGCCGATTATATCACATGTGCCCCCTTTATTTTCTTAAGCATCGGCTAGGCAGCCGAATGGTTTAAGAAAATAATTGCTTTTTTTTTTTAACAGAAGAAAACGAAAATGGCCGATCAATAGTCAGGAGGAGGCCAACAATGCTTTACTCCAAGCCGAGATCTTTTAATATCAAAATTCTCAAATTGATTTCGCTCTAGGCCGAATAAAGAATTCTCTCCAAATATTTTTGACTTGATGAAATATTTTTCATTCTCGGCCGCCGAATGTGTTGAACAATTATTATGCCCCCCAGGCATAATTTCGGCTTTTAATTCAAACAACTTAGCCGAACAGGATTTCTCCATATCGACTTTATTGCCAATAATCATATCAATTGGCGTAGTTTCTTGGGCTAGGCCAATATCTTGGCCTCGTTCGTCATTGGAGCATTCCTTTGACGAATCATTTTCTAAGTTGAGTTGTGGCTCAGAAATTTGAATTTTTTCTTCTAGGCCCACCACACTTTCAGTCTCAACCAAAAAAACAGGTGGCCCATGTTCTTTTTCGGCCGTCTCGACAATTTTCTGAGGCCGAATTTTAATTGTGGCCGGAGCGAAAATTGCCCCTCGGCCTTTGGACCTAACCATTTTTCAAATGGAATTGATCTGTAATCAGAAACATAAGGAAAATGTTCTTCATCTAGCCAGGCATTAAATCTAGCCCTGTCTTCATTTACCCATTGCTCTTGCAGGATAACAGGAGCTTTTATTCTCAACATGCAAGCGAATGACTTTTGCATATCTCTATGGCCACGAAGAATTTTTCCCACTTCAAAAGATCTTTTACGTTCCTCATTGTGTTTTTTCAATTCTTCTAGGAGCTCGTATAATCGGCTACGTTGAGCCAGATCGGAATCTTGATATATCATATGAACTTCGTAGTTTTAGCACTAGGTCCCACTGGGCGTGCCAAAATGTTGACCCTAGAAACTACAAAGCCTACGTGGCGCGCAGGCCGAGTAATTAATGAGCTAACTACGTCCTTCGGTGAATACGGGGCCGAGCTCGGCCGAGGAGTAAATTTGTTGATGTTGCGTTGGGTCGCGCTACTGACTTCTGCGTCTTGCGATTGCGGCCGAGAAAGGAACACGTCTCGACCTCTTGGGCTCTCGAACTTGAAGACAAGGTTACTATTCTTACGAAGTTCGATATCAAATTCGGCTTTCAATGTGCCGAATGTAATAACTGTAACACCTCACTTTGCCGAGAAGGCTGATGAGATGACCTCGACCAATAAGGATTTAGAAACCCTTCTCGACCGAGACTTGGATAGGTAATCAATCGTTCTCGCCGCAGTGCTGTTGATGCCAACGGAAGATACTGCGAGACCGACTGACTCTACGGTGACAGAGCTATCTATGCCGACTTAAGATATCACCGGTTGCTTCCACAGTGCTGTTGATGCCAACGAAAGATGTGTCAGCGAAAAAGGAAAAAGAAAAATCACAAGTTGTGAGAGTTTGCGCAGGGCAATTTTGTATTGATTTGTAGGGGGCTTTTCACACTGCACAGCGCCTTGTATTTATAGCAGTGATTTATTTACTAGCCAACCCGTGCAATCCTGGCCCAAAGCAAAACACTCCTCTGAGATAATTATCATAAAAGCCTTTGTCATCATCTTGATATCCTGAAATAGTTGGCGACTGCAATTTTGCTTGTATTGAGACTAGATACACTAGTCTCCTGATAAGACTCGTTCTTAGAATCGTAGTCAACTTTAACTTCCCAGGCACAACGCTCCATATCTTATCACCCATTCAGCGGATCATCTTCGATTCTACATGTACGAATTGCATGGAAAATGGTCTCTCAATTCCCTATGTACATGCATGAATCCAATCCTTTTATCTCCAAACCCACGTGCACCACTTGGAATGTGTGTAACATCAGGATTACCACTTGGTCAAAATCATCACCAATCTTGTTTATCAAATCCCACTTGCAGCTTTATCCCATTTATTTTGCATAAAAACCGAGATAACTAGTTAAGAGATAAATATTATGATTAAAAATAATAATATTATCTCTTAACAATAATATCTTAACTTTCTTATCCAACGGTTGAGAACCATGCTTACTCAACGGCATCGACCGCTTAAGCCGATGGTGTAAAATCGGGTCCAAACACTCCTAAAATACAACGACCACATCCTTGCAATAGTAGCACTCCAAATCACAAGGCTCCATGAACCACGATTGTGTTGAAAACTCTCCCATATAGATTCTAATAGACTCTCTAATAGTTAATGCACTATATGTATGTATATGTAAACAATGAAAAGTCATACAATGATTATAGGGGGCTTCCCTATTTATAGAAAGTGAGATACCTCTCTGGAAAGCATGTGACTATCATGAAGAGTCAAAAGTTGCAACTCTTTATATGAGTAGACACATCTTTCTACTAAAAGACTCCACTTCTAATTTCCATTCAATTAATAAATTTAATATAATAATATTATTATTAAATTTTCCAACAGAACCATTATTTACCTCTACTTCTTCTTGATACTTATTCAAAAAGAAGGACAGAACATCATCCAAAATAGCTCGCAGATCAAAACGCACTGCCTCAAACTCCAGCTTGCCAGTTTCAATATTTGTATGGTCCAAGACCTCATTTTTAAGTGAGACTACACATCTTTTACGTCTATGTGTAGTTCGGAAATAATCTAGTTGAGTAACAACCAGGTTTGTCTCCAATAGCATGTTAAACTTTCCTGAAAAGGAACAGAATTGTCAAAGTTCAGCAAGCTTTCTTTTGGCTGTAGTTTTGCTCCAAAATCTTGAGCAATGCAGGGACATAATTTTAAACAAATAACAGCAGCAGTCTTACGAACTCACCTAAGACACCATTAATTGGGCTTTTGATCCAGTGTAAAACATTTGAAAGAAACTACAGGTGATTAAGATCTGATTAGGCACAAGCATAGTACAATCGAAACTAAATTTCCCTGCATTAACTACAGTCAGAAAGTACCTTAGATGTGGCAGCATAAACTGCCTTGGCCTGTTTCTTGAGCTCCATCATCATACAGAAATCATCCTCCACTTTTGCAATCGTACTTGCAGCTGCAATCAAAATGTGGCCAACATGCAATGCAATCTCGAGGATCAAACTACTAGAAGTTGCAATGGCTAACCACGGCCGTGGTGGCTTATGTTTGAATCTGCATACAGAAGAAACTCGGCTTCTGAATACAGTTCTGCAGGACTATATAAATGCCTAGGTCCCTCAGAAACAGCATGATCACAATAAGTAATACAAATTTAACATTTTCTAGTCTCGTCCCATTACCAGAGACCAAGGAGAGGCCTATATTGTTAGTTTATAAGTATATATGCTGAAATGTAATAAGAAGTCAGCTTTAAATATTAGCCCTTGGATCATAGTCCAAGTGTGCAGCTAGGATGTGATCTTAGATTAAGTAATATTTACTCTTGCTACATGTGCTAAGTGTGTGCGAATGAATCAAATGGAAATATGCAGAGTCTTTTCTTCTTCTTCGAGCTTAACTCTCTCTTTCTCTAAAAACTCTCATTCTCCTCTTCTTCAGTACTCATAGATTGATTGGAACTTACATACAAGATTACAGTCTGTATGCTAACATGGCCTCAGAGCCTAGTTTGATCAATTGATACTGGGCGTTTGGATCTGTGAAGAGTGTTACCCAGAAATCGAGTTGTTTGTGATCTGAGTCTAACATGGCAGGATCGGGTAGTAGTGAGGTGAGAACACCGATTTTCAAAGGTGATAATTATGAGTTCTGGAGTATTAAGATGAAAACGATTTTCAAATCTCACGGACTGTGGGATCTGGTTGAGAAAGGTTTCGAGAGTTCAGATTCGAAGGATGATGGTGAATCTGATAGAAAGAAGAAAGAAAAGGAGGAATCGAGCAGTATTGAGAAGCTACCTCTAGCTGAAAGACTGATGAAAGATGCTAAAGCTCTGGGTCTGATTCAAGGAGCTGTTTCAGATGAAATATTTCCCAGAATCTCTTATGAAGAAACTTCAAAAGGCGCATGGGATACTTTGCAACAAGAGTATCATGGTGATAAACAGGTTAGAAATGTTAAATTGCAAGGTCTTCGTAGGGAATTTGAATATACAAGAATGCGAGATGATGAATCACTTTCTGTCTATCTTACAAAATTATTTGATCTGATAAATCAAATGCGGAGTTATGGAGAGGAGTTATCTCGAGAGAGGATTGTTCAAAAGTTATTGATTAGTTTGCCATCAACTTATGATTCTATATGCTCTGTTATTGAACATTCGAAGGATTTGGATGTGATTGAGGTATAAGAAGTTGTAGCTTCCTTGAAGAGTTTTGAGCTACGTCTAGATAGACATTCTGAGCACAAAACTGAGAAAGCATTTGCTAGTCTCAATGTGAATCCCAAACCAGTCAAATTCACTGGAAATCAAAGTGCAAGGTACCATAAGAATTGGAAAGAAAAAGGGAAGAGGTGGGATAACAAACCCACTGATGGTGCTAGAAATCCTTGTAAACATTGTGATAAGCTACATTTTGGTGAGTGCCGATTCAAGGGTAAACCAAAGTGTTATAACTGTGATAAATTTGGTCATATTGCAAGGGATTGTAATAGCAAGAAACCAGTGCAACAGGTCAATTATGCGAATAAGGTAGAATCTACACCCACCATGTTTTATGCTAGTAATCAAAACTAATACTAGTGTAAAGGACTGTGATGATGTATGGTATGTGGATAGTGGGTGTAGTAATCATATGACTGGAAGGGAGAATTTACTTGTGGATATTGATAAGAATGTAACTGCAAAAGTTGAAATGGGTACTGGACAGCTTGTTGATGTAACTGGTAAAGGGAGTCTAGTAGTTGACACTAAACTAGGCAAGAGATATATCAAGGAGGTTATGCTTGTGCCTGGACTGAAAGAAAAATTTGCTCAGTGTGGGTCAAATGATGGAGCACGGTTATTATTTGGTGTTTGGAGGTCACAAGGTGGAAATCTATGATGATAGCTCATATTCCAACATGGTTGCTAAAGTTCCAATGAAGGGAAATCGAAGTTTTCCAATGAAATTACAGACTGGAATACATATTGCTTTCAAGGCAAATGTATGTGCTTCTACTACTATGTGGCATAAAAGGTTGGGACACCTAAACATGAGCAGTTTGAAATTGATGCAGGAACAAGAAATGGTAGTAGGATTGCCAGACATCAAAGTAGCTAAAGGAGTATGTGAAGGTTGTGTTCTCGGTAAACAATGTAGAGAAGCATTTCCAAGGGAAGCTAATACTAGAGCATCAATTCCTCTAGAGCTTGTGCATAGTGACATTTGTGGCCCGATGCAGACAACTACAAAAGCTGGCAATAGATATTTTCTGACTTTCATAGATGACTGCACCCGGATGTGTTGGGTTTATTTTTTAAGGCATAAATCTGAAGTTCTAAGTGTGTTTAAAAAGTTCAAAGCCACTGTGGAGTTGCAGAGTGGTTATAATCTAAAGCAGCTTAGGAGTGATCAAGGAGGTGAATACACTTCAATTGATTTTAACAAGTTTGTTGAAGATGTAGGCATGGAAAGACAACTTACCACTCCATATACACCACAGCAAAATGGTGTGGCAGAGCGAAAGAACCGAACTATTGTGGAAATGGCTAAGTGTCTCATGTTGGAGAAAGACATCCCACTTGAATTTTGGGCTGAGGCAGTTAATACCTCAGTGTATATTCTGAATAGATGTCCAACCAAAGCCTTACATAAGAAGACACCTTTTGAAGCTTACAGTGGAGAGAAAACCAGGAATTAAGCATCTAAAGGTGTTTGGTTCTTTGTGTTATGCTCATGTGCCAAGTCAACAGAGACAAAAACTCGATTTGGCAAGCAAGAGGTGTATTTTCTTGGGATATGGTAGTTGTGAGAAGGGATATAGACTTTATAACATTGAATCTGGAAAGGTGACTATTTCCAGAGATGTTGTGTTTAATGAAGAAGTATGTTGGGACTGGAATGCACAAAAGGAAAGAAGGGAGAGTATCCAGATCATTAAAATGTCTGCAGGAGAACAAGACTGTGAAGGAGGTGCTTGTGATTCTGAAACACAATGTGAAGTCAGTGAAGAGATTGTTGGGCCAAGCTTAGTTACTGAGCTATCTGATCAAGAAAGAGTGACAGGTCCACAGGACTTTGATCACACTCCCCTCAAGTACAGAAACATTGCAGATATATATGAGAAGTGTAATCTATGCATTATAGAACCCGAATGCTTTGAAGAAGCTGCCAAGGATGAATCATGGCAGAAGGCTATGGAAGATGAAATCTCTATGATTGAGAAGAATCATACTTGGGATCTTGTTGATAGACCATTTGATAAACCAATCATTGGAGTCAAATGGGTTTATAAAACAAAACTAAATCTGGATGGTTCAGTGCAGAAAAACAAAGCAAGGTTGGTTGCAAAGGGTTACTCTCAGAAGCCTGGAATCGATTTTAATGAAACTTTTGCACCTGTGGCAAGACTTGATATTGTGAGAACCTTGGTGGCCCTTGCTGCACAGAAAGGATGGAAATTATTTCAGTTAGATGTAAAGTCGGCATTTCTAAATGGAGTGTTGAATGAAGAGGTGTATGTGGATCAACCATCTGGTTTTGTTATACAGGGCAAGGAAGACAAAGTGTACAGGCTCAGGAAAGCTTTATATGGTTTGAAACAAGCTCCAAGAGCTTGGTATGAAGAAATAAATTCCTATTTTGCAAAGGCTGGATTCCACAGAAGTCCGAGTGAAGCTACTCTTTATATCAAGACATCTCACAGTGGCATTCTCATTGTGTCACTATATGTAGATGATATTATCTACACAGGAAGTTCAAAGGAAATGATAGATGAGTTCAAAGGTGAGATGATGAGACAATATGAGATGACTGATCTAGGATTACTTCATCATTTCCTTGGTCTTGGGGTATTGCAGACAGATAATTACATCTTCTTGCATCAAAAGAAATATGCAAAGACTTTGCTTGAGAAATTTGGACTTAGGGATTGCAAGCCGGTTGCAACAACACCATTAGCTATAAATGAAAAACTTACAAAAGTAGATGGAAGTGATCTGGCAGATGAAACTCTATATAGACAAATGGTGGGAAGTTTGCTATATTTGACAGCAACAAGGCCATATATTATGTTTGCAGCAAGCTTATTGGCTAGGTTTATGCACAATCCTACCAAGAAGCATATGGGGACAGCTAAGAGAGTTCTGAGATACATACAAGGCATTGTGAACTATGGAGTTGTTTATGAGAAGGGAAAAGGAGCAGTGTTGGTTGGTTATTGTGATAGTGATTGGAGTGGAAGTGAAGATGATATGAGGAGTACATCCGGCTATGCATTCAATCTTGGTTCTGGTGTGTTTTCTTGGGCCTCAATCAAACAAAGCAGTGTTGCTCTTTCAACCGCAGAGGCAGAGTACATCAGTGCAGCAGAAGCTACTGCACAGGCCATTTGGCTAAGATTTGTACTCTCTGATTTCGGGGAAGAACAAGCAGAATCAACTAAGTTGTTGTGTGATAATACTTCAGCCATTGCCATATCAAATAATCCAGTTCATCATCACAAAACCAGGCACATTAATCGGAAATTCCATTTCATTCGAGATGCACTTCAAGATGGTGAAATTGATCTGATATACTGCAAGACTGAAGAGCAGATTGCAGATATATTCACTAAAGCTTGGCAAGGGATCGATTTGAATTACTGAGGACAACTTTGGGAGTAATTTCAGCACATCACTTAGAAGGGAGTGTTAGTTTATAAGTATATATGCTGAAATGTAATAAGAAGTCAGCTTTAAATATTAGCCCTTGGATCATAGTCCAAGTGTGCAGCTAGGATGTGATCTTAGATTAAGTAATATTTACTCTTGCTACATGTGCTAAGTGTGTGCGAATGAATCAAATGGAAATATGCAGAGTCTTTTCTTCTTCTTCGAGCTTAACTCTCTCTTTCTCTAAAAACTCTCATTCTCCTCTTCTTCAGTACTCATAGATTGATTGGAACTTACATACAAGATTACAGTCTGTATGCTAACATATATAACATAGAAGCTCAACCCTAAAAGTATAAGGCACAAGACTTGGTGATTACCTGCACCGCATCTCATGGTTCCTTAAGGGATCTCCAAAACCTAAGGAGCTGATGTGCTGCAATCCATCATCTGAAACCTGTGAACCGTACATTCTGATTGGATGCGACTGGTTGGTAGTGTCATACACGTTCACAAGGATGGTTTGCTTGCTAGCGAGTTGTTCAAGTGACTTCTCCACTAGTGACTCAAAATGAAATAGTCCGCCGAGATACCTGGTTGGTACAAACAACAGGATTAAAAAACTTAATCTAAAGTATAACCACTCTGAATATTATGATTCCAGCAAAGCAATTCTGTCTGCTGATATCCCTTCAAGGCCTTGATGATACCATAAAGGAACGTGGACATGCTTTTTATCGGCGGAAGACTTGTATTATGCTTTTATTAATAATATGTTCTCATTCAAAGAAAGCATACCCATCAGTCGCTTGAATTCTTTCGGTTGGAGTTGCATTTGAGGGCAGATTTCTTTTGTAGACAGCAAATGTCAGTATTACTCCAAGTCTGTTTGTTTTAAGCAGCCGAAAAGGAGCAGTTAGAACCCCCTTTCCCACTGCTCTTGCACGCAACACGTTTTGTCGATCTTCCTGTTGAAACGCACATGAACGAAACTTCACGAGTGAGGATTGCAGATCAGGAAACCAAATTTTTCTAGATAGCATGACACAAAGTTAAGAGCTTTCTAAATTTCTAATATAAAGGTACCATCATCTAAATTTTGGATACATCAGGACTGCTAAGTAAAAGTAAAAGATCCTAGACAACTACTGACATGCTGCTTAATTAAGATAATAGAATTCGACTGGATCTACCAGTATAGCTGACAAATGAATTGTGACAAGTTGACGAAATAACTAGATAAGGAAATACCTTCCCAGACAGCATATCAAAAGAGATGACATGTCTAATGTTATCCTGTGCAAAGATAACAGGAGCATATTCTTCCTGAACTTCTGGGGCATAGTCATTCTTATGAACCTGGTTTTGTTCAAGGGTATCCATTCTCTTGATACTCCAGCCCTGCTGCTTCTCAAATTCTTCTTTTTCCGAGTGGAGCACCCTTACAGCATATGCCACGCCACTTGAGGGGTCTCTCGAAAGCAGTTCTTTCAATGTACCGCGCAAAAGTTTTCTGCAGCTTCCGAAAGTTAGGATGTTCTATCAACTAGATAACTAGCATCATAGCTACAGAAAGCTCAGATCTGAATTTCTGAAACTAAAGTAAGCTAAACATATCAAATTAACACCGGTTGAGAAACCGCTACAAACTTCTTCCAATTTAACGCTTTCAAGCAAAGCCCCACGTGAACAGAATGCATCAACTAGCAAAACAGTACTAATTAACAGACAGACAGATCAGTAGGTACTAGGTACTCATTAAGTACCCTCAATAAATATCAATCTGAGTGACATAAAACACCAATGCTAAGGAAAGGGAACATTTTTGGGAGCATTTTTGCTCACCACCATTTAGTGTGGTGTATGCTCATCACCCTAGTTATCTCCGTTAGATGAGTTTGAATTTCGAGATTCATATAGTGGATAAGCACAAATCTCAATACTCAAATTCATCTAAGTGATAAATAGGATGGTGAGAGCATACACCACACTAAATGGTGGTGAGCAAAAATGCACTCGAACATTTTTGCTCAACACCCTCCTATAAGCCTGCCACGTGTCCTTTTTTAAACTATAGTTAAAAACACTTTATTAATTTAAAAAATATATATTTAATTAAAATTATTATAAAGAAGTAAAATATCACGATAGCCGAACTCAAGCACGACTCACCGGCGGCAGCCACATCAACCACCTCACCTCCTTGCCGCCGTCCCACCCCTTCTCTCCAGCCTCTCTTTCTTCTTCCCCCGTCCTCTCTCTGGCTGCTGACTGAGAGAGTCAGACCCGCCCCTCTCTCGACATATATATATATATATATTGAAGTGCGGATATGTTGAGTTCATGATTCTGCTATCTGTGTTTCTATTTGTGCCAACAATGGTACTGGAAAATTTTGAAAAAAGAAGAAGCTTTCTTGATGTTGCTATATAGTGCGTTGCGAAATCATATTTTTGTCTAGTGGGTTAATTTTGGTGAAATATGTTGCCGGATGTCGCCCTCGAATCTTAATTTGGCTTGTTGTTATTAGACAATCCTGTTTATACACAACAATTCAGTATAAATTGAAGTGCAGAAGAAGGGACGCAAATTTTGACTTGGGGGAGAAGAAAGGGCTCACAACTTTTTTTAATATTAAATTATTTTTTCTTTCCCCATTAAGTTTTAAGTTTTAAGAGATTGTTAACTATATTTAAAAAAAGAAAAAATTAGTATCCGGTTTCTAATTACTAATGTTTATTGACTAAGACCTTATTAGTTTTCAAATTTTAGTTGAAGTCCCTAGCATTAATGTGATAATGAATTTACATGTTTATTACATAATTTTTTTAAAATAAAAATCAGTAATTGATTTAGGTTTTAATACTCACACCTCTATTAAGCTCCTAATTAATTTTCAATTCAAACATTTCAAAAAAAAAAAAAGAATAAGTTTGTACCCATTAGTTTTTTATAAAAAGGTTCTCAATTTTTTAATCTGAAATGTACCTATTCATATAATTTTTTATTTTTTAATCTTAAATGTACACATTCTTAAATATACTAATTTGTTATATGTAAAATGTACCATTTTTTAATATAAAATCTACTCAATTCTTCAATATAAAATCCATTAAAAAATTTTAATCAATTTTTAAACTTATATGGGTACATTCCTTTTCGTTGATTTGAGAATGTATCCATGTCAAGTTTAATAGAATAAATTTACAAATGTTATTAAGCCTAATTTTTTTTTTGTTCATGTGGTTTTGAAGAATGTACCCATGTTTTGGAACAATAATTTTTTTGTTTGTTTGTTAATTTTGATGAATATACCTATATATATGTATGTTTATATATACACACACAATATAATAAAGAGTATAATTTATATTTTTTTATTTTTAATCCCATAAATTATGGGTTTTATTTAAAATCTCATTAATATAAACAAATGCAAATTTCAATTTTTAATTTGAAAACTATAGTAACTTACATTATTACATTAATGTCAGGAATTTCGATCAAAAACTAAAAACAGACAATGTTTCAATAAAAAAATATTGATAGTTAGGGACCGCATCAAAAGTATCTTAACAAAAAGACTAGTGGTGGACCTATGTGTGTATTCAATTGAAAATTTGAGAGACTTTAATGAATTTATAAATTCATGGATTTTTATGGAGTTTAATTGATTTGTAGAGATTCCATATAAATTTTTTATTCAATTCCCTCGAAATCTCATGAGAAGATGTGAGATTTATGTTGATACTTAAAATACATTACGAAATCTCTTCAATTCCTTAACTTTCTCAAACTCTTTAAAATCAAGTTATAATTAAATACACCTGGAATGTTATAAATTTCTTTAAAATCTTAATTGAATACACCCGGATTTCTAAAGATTTTAATAAACTATCTTAAAATTCTAATTGAATACACCTTGAATTTCAAAAAATCACTTAAACTATGAGGTGACATAGAATTCATAAAAAATCTCACTTTCAAACTCTACTTTTAACATTTCTTAACATCAAAAGCACGGCTGACAAACACCAATTCCAACATATTTACCATCCTAAAAAAAAAAAAATATATATATATATATATATACCATCCTAAAATTGCTCAACTTTGACAGATGATATCTTTACCTGATCAATGGCCGAAGGGTACTTTACGTCGTGGAATGTCGAGATCAGCATCGACATGGCCTGAATATGGTTCATGCTGACATTAAATTGATCCTGCAACATCCTCGCCCTCTCATCACACATCCTTGCAAGAGTTTCCTTCCTCTTCTCACTGGCCTGTGAGATGATGAAAGGGAAGTTCCAGAGGCTCACAATTATCCACCCAACCACCCACGAAAACACAAGCTTCCTCGACCACGTTTTTCGGACTCTCTTCAGCCCGTACTGGTAGTAATGTTGGCGGATCTTGCTGATGTTCAGTGGGATTTTCTTCCACCATTTGAGGCACATATTGGCAGCTTCACCAAGCAAACCTAGCTTGGTGCCGGTCACAATCCCATCAGTGAGGTACCAGTTCATGGAAATTACAGATACAATCGAGCAACATAGCATCCAAAGCAGACGCCCCACCTTCAAACCGAACCCAAATACAGGGAAGAAACTCATCCACCACAGCATTAAACCAAGCAAGTTGACCAAGACATTGCCAAGAGTTGAAATTTATATTGGACAAAGATTGTCTGCCCTTCACTTCCGCTGTCCTTCCGTGCCCTCCTGTTTGTGTAGTCACGGTTAAATCATGTCAAAATTTTATATTACTATTCATTTTTATCTTATTATATATATAAAAATAACAATATAAAATGTTGATGTGTCTTAACCGTGATCACACAAAACAAGAGGGCACGGGAAAGACATCGGAAGTGGAGGGCAGACAATCCTTGTCCATTTATATTTGCTAGCAGAAAAAAACACTGTTTATCACAAACAGTGAAATGGCGGATTTGGCCCTGCTTGGTTTGTATAATTTCATTTTTGCCTTGATTAATCTTCCACACCGTTCCACGATCCATCCATAAGCATATTTTATCAGTTTCATTCATACCTCCTCGACCGCTTCATTCTTCATTGCGAATCGAAACCAAAAGCTGCTCATCTAAATTTTCTCAGAGCTTCATTTGTTCCTCGTCCGCCGCTTCATTCTTGCTCCACCGCCAATCGAAAGCTAAAATTGTTCATCCAAATCAATTTCAGTTCACTCAAATCCCTAGAACCCTAAAACTCAAATTTCTCCAGATCGTCCTGATATTGAAGGGCAAACCCAAAACCCAGATCCCTAACTCAATCAATCTGTTCATCGACTCTTCAACTCGCCTTCTGGAACAAAACATCCAGGTATTTTTTTCATTTTACCCATCTCGGATTTAATCTTTGAGATTTTCCGAATTATTGAGCTTTCGATTTTGTGTGTACAGTTGAGAATTTGGATTAATTATATGATGATTTAAATTATCCTTAATTGCTTGGGGTTTGGGGGGTGGGAGGGGGGAAGGAGCAGAGATAAGCAGGGCAGAAGGGGGCGGAAGACAGAGGAAAGAAAGGGGGAGAGAAACGGGTAAAGATATGAGCTTTAGCTACTGCATGTAGATTCAGCTTTCCTTTGCATTTGAGTGAGTTGGAAACCGAGTGGAACAGTGAGAGAGAGAGAGAGAGAGAGAGAGAGAGAGAGAGAGAGAGGACGATGCAAAACCCAGCAGCATGTAGTTTGAATTGAGTTGGAAATCGAGTGGACAAATGTTAGAGAGAGGATTGTGTTTGGGTTTTTGGCATGGCGGTTGAGGCTGTTAAATAGCGTAGAATTGAGTAGAATATGAAGTTTTTTTTTTTTTTTGGTCAAAGAATATGGAGTGTTTATACGCGGTCCTCCGGTTGGAGCCACATTTTGTAGACTTCTGTGGACTTTAGTCATACTTTTATAACCTGACAGAACCAAGAAACGATAAAGACTCTTTTCCTGTGTGTTTTGTGTGTGTTATTGACAACTAAAATAATAAAAAACTAACATTTGTTTTTTGTGTGTGAACAAAGCACTATCTAACATCATTGCAACATGTATGACTACAATTATCAAACATGAAATGGTTTTTGATGGCCTTCCATGTCCTCCCTTGCTTTGAGTTTTTCAGGGCTTAGCTGCTGCCTCTCTTGCCTTATGAAAAATGAGAATAACTTTACAAAGATGTAATTCCTTTTTGTAAAGTGCAGAATCATTGAAAAGAGTAAATCTCAAGAGTGCAGAATCATTGAAGATCAGCACCAAACAAGTTGGGTAACAGTGACAAACAGAAGTGGTTTCTAAGGTGCTCTTGGTAAAGTGCTTATCCGTTTTGTAAAGTACTTTCCCCTTCTCCATTACCACCAAGTCAGTCATTGCATTAGTTAATTACCTCCAATATATTTGAGGTTGTTACTTACATATATAATCATATCATAGTTTATTTCCTCTTCCCCCACAGCCAAGTCAGTCATTGCATGCAATTTGCAGGCAGTACTCCAAGTCCAAGTCACATAAAAAGATACTGTTAGCTCCCTTGTCCTTTCAACTATCAATAATGCATTAGGTTGAAATTTGGAAGCATTTGAATCATCTAATGTCCCTTGTCCTTTCAAATTTCAACGTAATGCATTATTGATAGATGAATAGCTGTAATCCTGGCCAATTAAGAATCTTTTGGATAGCCTCTGTCTTTTTGTGTTCCTTTCTTTCCTTTATTCCTCTCTCTTTCGGCAGTGTGTCGCTTGCACACGCGAACAGTATTGTATTATGAACTTTTGACTGAAGGATCTTGATCCGAATACAAACACACACAACAACCACTGCCATTTTTTCTCAATCGTGATCTGAACCAGTGCAGTAACATAAACGGTGGATACCGCCATGACAGCCCACGAAGCCTCCTCTTCATCCTCTTCTAAGTCAAAACTTTGGAATTACGACGTGTTCTTGAGCTTTAGCGGTGCAGACACGCGTAATGGCTTTACGGACCACCTCCACGCGGCATTAACAGACAGGGGATACCAGGCTTATATCGATCAAGACGATCTAAAAAGAGGGGAAGTAATAAAAGCAGAACTGTTCCGAGCAATTGAAGAGTCGAGAATCTCTATCATTATCTTCTCAAAAAGTTATGCAGATTCAACTTGGTGTCTTGACGAGCTTGTGAAGATCATGGAGTGCAGATCCAAACTGGGGCGACATGTTTTGCCAATATTCTATCATGTTGATCCTTCGCATGTCAGGAAGCAGTACGGAGATTTAGCCGAAACATTCCAGAAGCACGAAGATGGCATCGGTGAAGAAAAAGATGACAAGAACCGTGAATTTAAACAAGAAATGGTAAAGCAGTGGAGAAAGGCTCTTACAGAAGCTGCAAATTTGGCTGGCCACCATCTTCAAATCACTGACAATAGGTAATCATTCAGCTGCTTTTCAAGATTTGAAACCTATTAGTGAATGACTTAAATCTTTCATATAATTAACATGCTTTAATTAACATTTTACAGAAGCTAAACATTAATTAGCATGATTACGTGAATATCTTATGTAAAACCCAAACCGCAATGATTTTCTTTTATTCAAGTTGGTCACAAAATCATGTATTAGCCGGGTAGGAGCGAGTAGTTTGGAGAACCTATGGTTTGAATCTGAGCTATGGCTGCGAAATGGAGACGGGGCTAGTTTTTTTTTTCTTTTTCGCCTCTCCATAAATGGGGGTAAGGCTAGCCGACATTCACCTCTCCCAGACCCTGCGTAAAGCAGGAGCCTTGTGCACTGGGTACGACCTTTTATTTGCAGAAAGGTGAGAGAGAGCAAAGAGTGAATTTTTAGTCCGAAATTCTTGTGGGTTAAATTTTTAGTTCGAAATTATTAAAGAATGAATTTAGGATTCTTAGAAGGTGGCCAGGCTTGTGAGGAAGAAAGAAAGGAAAAGTTTTGAATTTCAGAGGTTACGGGCCATTGATGGACATAAAAAAAAAGGAGATTTAAAGAGATTTTTTTGGGGGGGGAATCGGTGAGGTTTATAGGGAGAAAGTGGAGAGATGCAGTTCATCTGAAACTCCCTAGGATTAAGTCGTACAAAGTGAAAATATCTGGGACGGATTTTAATGGAAATGAGATTTTAATGGGGTTGGGGAAGCCTGGAAGGGGTTGAGTTCATCTGGAACTCTCTTGAAATGGGATTTTAATGGGTTGGTGGGAGCTGTGTTCAAAGAAGTGAAAATATCCTGGTTAAAAATAATAAAATATTAATAAAATGATTAAAAAGTAACAAAAAAAGTATATAAGGTCTAAAAATAAGTTAGTTCGTGACTTAGTCCGACACTGCACCAAACGCTTCATTATTCTTATACTACTTAGTCCATGGCAAGCCAATCCAACTTAATCCCTGAAACTAGTTCAATCCGAAATAGTCTAGTGCAACAAAAGAACTGATAGGGTTGGAGGAAAAGAAACAATGGCACAAATGTAATTGCATTGAAATTGAGGGTCCATTCCATAACAAACATGAATAGCGCAATTTATTTTCCTTACTTTAGACTTAAGTCATATATGTGTGTATATATGAAGGAAAAAAAGTGTTTATTTACTGATAACTGCTATTAAACTGTCATTGAGTCTCGCTAATGCTTACCGATTCATTTTTTAGGCGTGAAGCAAAGCTTATTAGAGAAATTATTGACAAGATTACAGAATGGCTTCCAAGCGCAAACAAATTACATGTGGCCAAGCACCAAGTTGGAATTAGTTCTCGCATTCAAGATGTTATCAGGCATCTTTTAAGCGGTGGATCAAATGAAGTTGTCATGGTTGGAGTTTGGGGGATGGGTGGGCTGGGTAAAACAACAGCTGCCAAAGCCATTTATAACCAGGTTTATCATAAGTTTGAATTCAAAAGTTTCCTTACCGACGTTAGTGACACTGGAAATAAACATGGTATGGTTCATTTGCAAGAAAAACTTATTTTTGACATCTTGAAAAAGAAGTCTCAAATAAGCAGTGTTGATGGAGGTATCAGTCTGATAAAACAACATTTTCAATATAGAAGGGTACTTGTCATCATTGACAACGTAGATGAAGTGGAACAACTAAATGCAATAGCTGGAAATCATGATTGGTTTGGTCCAGGAAGTAGAATTATCATAACGACACGAGATGAACATTTGCTAAAGCAAGTGGATAAGACATATCCGGCTCAGAAATTGAATAAAGAAGAAGCTCTGGAGCTCCTTAGTTGGCATGCATTTGGAAATAGTTATCCGAATGAAGGATATCTTGAACTCTCACAAAAGGTTGTTTCTTACTGTGGAGGTTTGCCACTAGCTCTTGAAGTTTTAGGTTCTTTTTTAAATAAAAGAACCATAGCAGAGTGGAAAAGTCAATTGGAGAAATTGGAAAAAACTCCTTACGAAAAAATAGTAAAACCATTAAGAATAAGTTTTGATGGGCTAGATGATACACAAAAGGCTATCTTCCTTGACATAGCTTGTTTCTTTATTGGATGGGACAAGGACTATGTCGCAAAAGTATTCGACGGGTGTGATTTTTTTCCTACAATAGGAATTAACGTCCTTCGTGAACAATGCCTTGTAACTATTGAAGACAATGAGTTGAATATGCATGATTTGCTTCAAGAAATGGCTAGAGTAATTATTTCTGAAAAATCCCCTGGTCACCCTGAAAAATGGAGTAGGTTGTGGAATCCTCAAGAGGTCACCAACGTCTTGGAAAATGAATTTGTAAGTACATTCCCAATAAAATTTTGTATTAATGCATCGTACAAGAAAAATATATATGTAACACATGTATGTCTATTATACATTAAGCAACATTCATGTGTAAATATATGCGGTTGCACAAGGAAAGCTCAATTAGCCAACAATACTTGTATATATTCAACGTGATTTTGCCTAATGAATAATAATACACGTAAATATATTGCAAATAATCCGTTTCTTACCGGTATAAACTTTTGTTAACAGGGAACTGAAGAAGTTGAAGGACTTGCTCTAGATAATTCTTTTTCTCATGACAAGTCGAGTTTCAGTACAGAAGCATTTGCCAAAATGAAGAAACTGAGATTGCTTCAGCTCAACAACGTAAAGCTCAATGGAGAATACAAACATCTTCCCAAAGAGTTAGTGTGGTTGTGCTGGCATAGATTCCCTTTAGAGTCCATACCAGATGACTTTTTTAATCAACCAAGACTAGTTGTTTTAGAGATGCAGTATAGCCAACTGGTACAACTTTGGGAGGGTTCCAAGGTACGTACAATCAATTACACATTATGATGTTCAGTTTTTATTTGTTTTTGGATTTCCTTCTTTTTTTTAATTTTTTTAATTTTTTTTGAGATCTTCCTTTTGAATATTTATTTCAATTTTTTTTGGTTTTCTTTAACAGTCACTTCAGAAGTTAAAAATTATTCATCTCAAGTGTTCCCATTTCTTAACTAAATCACCAGACTTTTCACAAGTCCCGAATCTTGAAGAGTTGATATTGGAACATTGTGTCAGTCTTTCCGAGATTCACCCCTCCATTGGTCATCTTAAAAAACTTTCTTTGGTGAACCTTCAAGGATGCAAAGTGCTTATTTCGCTTCCAAGGGATTTCTATAAGTCGACATCTGTTGAAACTCTTTATCTTAATAACTGTTCAAATTTCAGAGAACTGCATGAGGATTTAGGGGGGATGACATCATTGAGAATACTTGAAGCAAATTTAACATCAATAAGACGAGTACCACCTTCCATAGTAAGATTGAAGAATCTCACTCGTTTATCCCTACATGGTGTAAAAAGTATTCATTTGCCCTCTTCGTTACACGGCTTAAACTCTTTAAGGGAATTAGATCTCTCATTTTGCGAATTAGCTGATGATCCGATCCTAAAGGATCTTGGGAGTCTAATTTCTTTACAACATTTGGATCTTGAATGGAATAATTTTCATACCCTACCCAGCCTGAGTGGTCTGTCAAAGCTTGAAACATTGAGGTTAAATGGATGCAAATATCTTCATACAATCCTTGATTTACCAACAAATTTGAAATTTCTGTATGCGTTTAATTGCCCTGCATTGGAATCAATGCCCAATTTTTCAGAAATGTCAAATATGAGAGAACTAAAAGTAAGTAATTCAACCAAACTGATTGAGGTACCAGGCTTGGATAAGTCATTACACTTCATGACATGGATTAATATGCAAATGTGTCCCAATCTCACAGCTGATTTTCGGAAGAACATCCTACAGGTATCTCTCTCTCTCTCTCTCTCTCTCTCTCTCTCTCTCTCTCTCTCTCCTAAGTTTGAAATGCCTTCCTATCGTGCGCATGCACACACAAACACACATGTACATGTATGTGTGTGTGTGTGTGTATATGACACTTTAATTTTTTTATATATAGGGATGGACTTCTTGTGGACTTGGTGGTATATCTCTCCATGGGAATTATATTCCCGATTGGTTAGAGTTTGTCAATGATGGCAATAAAGTCAGTTTTAATATTCCTCTGAGTGATGATCGTAATTTTGAAGGGCTGATTGTATTGTGCATTTATCGCTCAGGCAATAGAATTGATCGTCATCTTCCTCTTGATGTTACTGTTATAAATAATACCAAGCGTACTATGTTACGGGCCTACATAGGCATAACAGATTGGGAGGAGCTAGTATATGAGGACGATTATCTTTGGCAGGGACAATTATCTAACGATAAGCTCAATTTGCAAGGCGGGGATAAAGTTGATATAATTTTTGAAGACTCATTTGCGAGTTTGCATCCTGATTATTATGTGACAATGAAGAAAACAGGGGTTAATCTAGTATGGGACAAACTTATGATGGAAAATATGCATGATTTGGACGAAGCCAGTTATGTTTTTGACCCACATCCAGCTCGGTTCTATGATGCATCTGATAATAATCATCCCATAATCAAATGAGAATCACGACAGATGACAGAAATACAACAACAACAACAACCACAAAGCCTTTTTCCACTAAGTGGGGTCGGCTATATGAACCCTATAACGCCAGATGACAGAAATGGGAAAAAAAACAAATTTTATTTTGAAGTGAAAGCATCATCTCTAGAATAAATCACACCCAGATCGGTTCTATGGTCAGGCACGATCAAGGCAGTGATGCTTCGTCAACATCAGGCTCATCCTCATCATCACATATATGAGTTCCTGGACTACAGATCACCACCAACTTCATCATCAGCAACAGCAAGTCGATATTTCATACTTCTTTCAGATTCTTATGATTTTTCAAGTAAGTAATTGTTTTGAACTTTGAAGATATATTGCATCCATAAACATTTCAACATTACAAAAATCGATATAAGACACGCATCCAATGATTCAAGAAATACCACTCAAATTCGCAAAAATACTTACCCAATAAATGCACTCAACATTTTTTTGTCAAATGCATGGTCTAATTTTACCGGTGTAACCATACTTAGTAGTCAACACTGGACATTACATAATCAAGTTACTTGTAAACATGCTTAACAGATAAGATACCACATCGATGATGAATACAACTTCATGGAGATAAAAACAACTCTTTTCCTTCTCTAGTTTAATCTTTCATTTTCAGGTTTGGGACGTGGTAGATAAATTCAGTTATTCAAGCTAAGGGCTCAAGTCTATTCATCCCTGCCGTTCTATTGCTAGTTGAAGTAAAATACATAAGCTTACTCACCAATACGACCCGTACCAATAAATTTGGTCTGACAACAACCTTGGTGTTGACCAGGAACACATCACCAATGTAAAGATGGTTCGGGGGAACATAAACACAGCATAACTCTTCATCTCTGTAATAGCTCTGCAAAATAATTCTTTCAGTCCAACCAAGGGGACTGAAATTTTCTATAAAGCTCACCTGGGGATATGGCAGAACTAATCTGCTTGGAGGCATTGTAGATATGACGAACAAACGGCATTTTTCTGATAAACCACTCTCCAAGGCCAGGACAGATGCACTGATATAAAAGTCAAGAATCCAGAGCCATACGGCTCTAATTCAAAGAGACAGAACAATTCTGCGGTACACCTGACAAGTAATAAGTCAAGTGCAGCTGACAATTTAGGTAAGTGCAGATACATGATCATTTTGTGTTATATGTGCATATATATATATTTGTATAATGCATGGAAGCATCTCAGTTAGGTGGTTTTCTTTGGGACTAACACTTCATTAAGAGTGGTAGTTGTGAAGCCTTGATTTATGATCACCATAATCATCTAATTGATTCTTACAAAATAAAATTTCCTGCCAAATGTGCAGGAACCGAGCCTGTTGGCGGCTGCTTGACATCTGGATTGCAAGTAAATGAGGAGCATTGGCAAGAACCAAGCACCGGTGGTTCAGAAATCAATCTGACCCATGTCAACAATTCTAGAAGCGATGGAAGAGAGGTATTGAAAACCTATACCCAGAAACAAGATCCTATGAAGGTTCTTGAGCATGTGAGGATTACCAATATGCTTGAATCTCCAATAGCCACCATAAAAGGTGTTTTCAAACACTTTAAGGAAGAAGAGTTGAGCGTTGATAAAGAGGAGCTGAAGAGAGTGGAAGAACGTTTAAGAGCTGCGCTCATTCAATTTTACCATCAGCTTCAACTGCTAAAGCACTACAGGTGATAAATAGTAATTGCGTCAGCATACCTTCCACTTTGGTTACATGGTGACTCAGTTTAGGTACTTATACTTTTGCATTTGTATGAACCAATTTTATGAACCTCCCAGCATTTTCGAAGATTATGAAAAAAATATGAGAAGGTAAGACATACACTTCAAACCAAAATGTGTCAGAATTTTGAGCTCCTTATTCTCAATTTGAATTTAAGCGAAGGGTTGTGATGAAATATCCATTCTAATAACACAGATTGCATCAAGGAGAGCGGCCAGATCATACATGCTAATAGTAGACAATTCTAATCTTGGAAGTTCTGATGAGGTTTGTCAGATGTATTTGTTGTTTTTCTTTTGTTAATCATTTCAGCATTGAGAATTCGACTGCTTTGTTGATCTTCAATTTCTAATCGTTTCTTCCTGTAAACATGTTGAAGAGGTGGGATATTTGTAAGTTTCCGGTTCATTTTTATATCTTTGTAGGTCACAAACCTGTTGGAGAGAGTGGAGACTACCTTCATACAAAAAAATTTCATACTCAAATCGCAGGGAAGGTATGAAGTCGCTGAGTCCAAAAGCAAAAGGAGAAAAGCATGGTGTAACATTTTTCTCCAGTAAGAATAGTAACAGTGCCAATTATCCTTTTTCTAGAAATATGACCGGTGCAACATGTATGCTTTGTGCAAGTAATATGAAAAGAAGATTTCTAGCAGTGTCATTGAGTCTCCATTAGTTAATTCTTAGTTCTCTGTTAAAAAAATAAAACTAATTCCTATTTCATTTTAACTTTCAGGTTTCTTTTTTGGCTGCTCGGTTGCGAGAGAGAGCACAGAGAGAAGAAGAGAATTCTATATTTCTTGATTGGAAAGATGCAACGATTCACCAATATAGAGGTGATTTCTACAACTAATCTCTGCAACCTCATCACTTAACAGATTCTAACAATACTAACTCTTATGCTTATCAAGTGACAAGGGTATCAACCCACACCATCCATACACTCTATTCCACTATATCGTGTGTACCATGGTACCCAAATCAACGTAGACCAGGTCCCCCCACTCTTATCACAAATTCTCATATGGTAGCCTAACTGAATATGAAATATACTTTCACCATTGCATAACCAAAATACATAAAATCCTCTGAACTCATTTGCAACTGTTTGAGCAGGAACTGTCATTTCCTTCTTCTTGTCAGAGTTAAGAACCGGAAATGTCACTTGAATAAACGGTTGTAAACTCACTGAAATCAATTGAGATTCTGCACCTTGTCAATACATTCCAAAACTTGGTCTTTGGCATCATCTAAAAACATTTCTTCTTTTGAAACAATGAAGTCTGAGAGAGAACCAGACTTGCAATCATAATCCGTACGAATTTCAACATCAGAATTGCTCTGTAAAGGTGTTTCATGTTTTTGCAGGATGACTGGACAAACTAGTTTGAATTGGTGATCCAATGTGCTTTGACATGATTCAGGGATTGAAATTGAAGACTGAACATTATGTATGGGATAACAATCAGCATCAAAATGATCCTTCTGTGAACAAATTTGATGTGTAGGAAAATCATGTGGTGGAGAATTAAGACATGAAGATGGCGGAGAGCCAAGAACTCCTCCTGAAAATTGAGGAAAAGACTTGTAGGTATTAAATCTTTCACCATTATTGTAACGGAACTGACCTTTACCACTATTAAATTATATATTTCTTGATTGGAACGATACAACAACGATTCACCAATATAAAGGTGATTTGTATGGCTAATCTCTACAACCTTATTACTTAACGGATTCTAACAATACTAACTCTTATGCTTATCAAGTGACACTGACAAGTGTATCAATCCACACCATCCATACACCCCTAACAGTTTTAAGAGTGGAAGCTCGAAAACTGCTGGATAGGGAGGAGGGTGCAGAGTACATGGAAAACATTTTTCCACTTTCCAGGTAACAGCTAACCCTCTGGTATTCAATGACGAAAAGTTATCCTATTCATTTGACCCGTCTTTTCTCTAAATATGCAAGTGGGTTTTCTTGCAGCTTATTCGGATACATCACTCAACATATGCAATTGATTTCTGCTAAATGATCTTTTCCATGAACTACAGCCTGGTGCCTCTGTTGTAGAACTTCCTCAGTTGGTACAAATGATTTTTATTACCCCTTCTCTGTGCAGTTGGTCCATTCCATCACCTTCTACCCTTTCAAAATTATATGCCATTCCAGTCGTTTCTTCTTCATTCGAGCCTTATTACGCTGCATATGCGCCCCTCTTTACCCGGTAATGCATGGGAAAACAATTGGAATATATATGAGTAGACGACATGACAAGATAGCGTGATTTCTCGATTGTTTTTTAAATTTTCTGGAGACATTTCCGGACTTTTTCTTGGCATTAAGTAGCAAATACTCCCCATTCTGTTTCGAGTAGGCTATTTTCTTTTGTTTGATCTCAGGCGCAAGCCTTCAGGAGTTTTGTGTTATACGTTTGCTACTGTGGTTTGGGAGAATACTCAAGGAGGCAAAGCAAGTGCCACGGTTACGGTCTCTACGATACGTTATATTTCATTATTGCTGTCATACCATTTTGGATGCGCTTCCCACAGGTCTCATTACATTTTTCACTGTCTAGTACGTTCGAATGCATGTGTTACTCTTATTCACGTTGAAAATGGATATGGAGATAGATAGTTTCACTTGTTTTCTAGCTTATAATTTTCGTATAGTCTCCAGAAGATCATGTCTTCTGTGTGGAAGGATGCACTTGCAGATAGCATATCTTGTCTTGCAATGGTTTAAAGTACTTATCTGCAATCATTGCAGTTATTATACGAACTGTTTATGAAATGAAAAAGGGAAAGACCTCCTGGATGGTGGTGGCTTTGATTAGCTCCGCTGTTGCAACGACAGTGGATACGTACTGGGACATTGTAATAGACTGGGGCCTTCTGCGAAAGACATCAAAGAACAAGCATATGAGAGATAGGCTTCTACTTTCACACAAGACCGTATACTTTGCAGCCATGGTAAGGTTTAAGTGACTGAATTCGAGAGCGATGGGGTTTTGTGTTACAGTTTCTACTATTAATTCCCAGTATGTTTATGTGTGTTGGAATTTAAATTGCGTACCATTCATAAAATGACAATAACAACCATCATTTGCCTTCCTAGAGGTCATTCGTCGTTGCATCCTTTAAGTAGCTTACGCTTGAGAGGTGAACGTGTTCAATTTAATCAGGTTAGAGAACGAGCACTTGAACAATGTAGGCCAGTACTGCGCTTTCAAGTCAGTCCCTCTTCCTTTTGGTTACTACGATGCGGACGTGACAAGGATGACTAAACATGACAGTCTCGCTCCATTCATACACCTTAGTATAATAAAGCAACAACCAAGAACAAACGTACGATCTGTGGTTAATTATATATATGGAATAGCCTTGTTCATTGTTGATCCTGAACAAAATTCTCTGGTTCTGGTTCATAAGAAATTGTATATAGGGAAAAGCATATATTCACGAGTCCATCAATTTGTCGACCTGTTAGTTAGTCAACGGAGTATACCATTCACAAATTTCCCAAAAGATCAGAACAAAAGAACTACTGATGCAACTCTGCATTCAGCAAAAAATTAATGGAGAAGGGGAGAAAAAAAGAAAGAAAAGTTTCAGCAGCTTGTAGACAATTTCAGATGTTTGCGATTTTCCTTGCCTACAAATGTTTGTCATGGTCTTCATCATAGTTGAAGGGCAGTGGCACTGACTTGAATGCTCTGTACTTTCCGACATTGTTCAGATGCTCATTCTCCAACCGGAAAAAATTCCATATCCCTCGACGAATTATCTCCAAGCTCCCCACAACCGTGATCATTGTCTGTCTATGCATGAAGGAGACATTGAATTTCAGAACTGTCTGCAGCCAGGCAAATCTCAGCAGTACATTCAATACCTGCAGTGTTTTGTCAACAAATCAGTCAGAAAATTTTAAGCATTGCACAAATCGAAGTAAAACTTATACTGTCAGACTCTGAATCTGAACCATTTATCAAGAGCACTGACCATCGCTATGAAGTACACGCTTTTGTAAGGGACCAAGAGTTTGTCTCTCAACCATCGGTTCTTGGAGCGGCGTTGCAGAAGTCCCCAGTCCACAACAAGATCCCAATATGTTGCAAATATGGCTGCAACGATTGAGAAAATCCCAGCAAGAACTTTCCAGTTCACGTCGTCGGTAAGTGTGTGGGCTATCCTCATGCTAACTGATACTATGATTAAGAAAAATTTCAGTCCATTGTAACCTTGCATCGGATCTTTCTCGTCAACCAAGCGGCGGATGCACTGAAGGAGGCGGGACCAAAATGGAATGCACGCAACGAGGAAACTGAAAATTTTGAAGACGTCACTTGATCTGCAAGTTGTTTCCCTGACCTTGTAGTCTCCCCAGCCATAATAGCAAATGTAGAATTGCAGACTTCTAAAGGCTTCCACCTGGCTAGTTAACTGATCTGCCAAGAAGAAATCTGGCAGTGTGACCTGTAAAGGAATCGAAACTTTTATCAGGACATCCAACCGAGTTAAATTTTACAGTTTTTAACTCGAAAAATGAGGGTGTCTGCAGTGGAATTTTACCTTATAGAGAGGAGCACAGATGCTGTGGAACACACAAACAAGGGAGAAGCAGCGACTCGAGCGATATATGATGTTGAAGGGGCATAATAATATCACAATCAGAAGCTGCATAAGAAGAATTAGTTCAGTATATAATCTCTAGAGTTGTGATGAGCCAATGCAGCTGAAATTAAATAGTTCAACTGATGACATGATCTTACCAGGAGCAAGAAGAGCGGGAGAAGTTCGGTTAGTTCTTTGTAATCTTTGGTTTTCGGGTCCATCTCCATGTCAAGATTTGAGAGCACAGATGCTAGTGCTAGCACTGCCACACCAAAACTCAGAAGGAGTACCTCTCTGTATCCCAGCTCGGTTCCTTGCTTGAAACCGAATATAAAAGAGTAATTGACTCTGAACCGCCGCCAAAAGTATATATTTCCGGCATACATAAGCATGTGCAGAACAATGAATCCGAACATGCTGCATTGAAGAATAACATGTCACGAAAAATTCAGTATTATCCCTTTTTTCGGAAACTTGGAATGAAGAATAAAAAAGCATAGGGTTAGTTACCTGTATAGGGGGAACATGTTTTCCATGTATTGACTTCCCCCCGGCTCATCCATAATCTTTCGAGCACGAGTGATCAAAACAAGCGCCAATATGAGAGCAGCTGTGCAGCCAGCAAAGCAACCTGAAGGTTTTCGAGTGAACAGATTCAGACGAAAGAAATTGATGCTGAAATTGTGCTTGTTCAGTAAAATAAATTTTACTATACTGATTCAGCTAGAGGCCTTACCCATCGCGAATGTTATCCTGTGTCTTTCCACCTTCGGTTTTGGCCTCAAGACCGCCATTCCTTTTCGGCGATTTGAGTTCGAGAAATGCTTGATGAATGTAGTTTCAACCCTCTCCATAAGCTTGGTAACCTGCAGTATTGGCAAATGCCATGAAGAAATTAAAATTATGAACAGAAACTCATAATCATTCCTCTATTTAGCGTCATGCATGAAGAATCCTCACCTCGTCGGAGCTGCCAAGGTGCGAGTTATCCACCATGTTCATGTAAGATTTTGATGCATCTCTCGAAGCCACCTTATCGTATTTCTTCATGATCTTCGAGATAGCCAACGTATTCAAAAATCTGTTTCATTGGCGGATAAAAAAGTTAGCTTCACAGTCAAGAAACAGGAGGAAAACCAACCAAATAGGTGCCCCAAAGTCGTTATATCTTTACCCGTAGCTCTTCAGAAGCCGAAGCTTCTGGTAAAATACAACGAAAGCGCCCCTCAACTGTTCTTCAACTTTGTTGAGATTAACCCTGCTGAACTTGAGCTCCGTTTGCGGAGCCACGTTGAGGAAGCCTTTGATGGTGGAACACGGCGTCTCAACCGCGTGATTCATTTTCACACGGTCTAGTATATCCAGTGGCGCAGGCCTAGTGCCTCTCCTGCTCTCCGACTTCTTCATCACTTCCATCTCAACGTCTCCACTCTTTTTGTCATCTTTTTCTTCATCACCCGAACTGTTTGATCGGCGCTCTTCAATCGCATCCATAGCACGTACCCGCCCTGCTCGCAAATCATAATGTTAAACAACCCACGTTTAGACATAAACACAATATTAGCCCAGCGAAGCATTTAAAACTAAGAAAACTTTGGAGTTTAAGGGAATGTGCGAGAGTCTACTTCTAAAATGACAAACTATTTGGGTTCTTTAGATATATGCTCATGTAACACTTATTTTTCTTGATAAAAACTCATCTCGTTTTAAACATTCAAATAAACTCAAATTTGAAATAAAATGTCATGTAAACAAATAAATACCTATTATTTTCAAAATATTTATAATTGTGCCACAACACCCTAATTATGTTGTTGAATTTAATTATCCACCATAATTATGGCAAATAAGTGCTTTATTATGATAAAAGTATCTACTTTATACTCGTCTTACCATCATCTGTTCCATTTCTTATATTTGTTTGACAATCATTGTAGGTAAATTATTTTGCATGTATACATTAGGCACATTTTGTTATTATTATATCTGTGTGAAATAAATTACCTATATTTTAAGTAGAAAATAGGTAATTAACTAACTTTGAATCAATTGGCTAAAAACATCCTTTTATTTTGTAGGTAAATTATTTTGTATGTATTATTACATATACTAGGCACATTTGTTATTATTATGTATTGTTTGCAATCAATCAACATTCATTTATTTTGTAGGTAAATTATTTTGCATGTATTATTACATATGTTAGGCACATTTTGATATTATTATATATATGTGTACGTAAATAACTTAACTTTTGAATCAAACAATATTTATTTATTTATTTTGTAGGTAAATTATTTTGCATGTATTATTTTACCTGGAACTTATATTGTTATTTTATATATGTAAAATATTGGTAATTTTTTAATAAAATAACATTTGTATATTTGCAAAAAATACAAATTTACCTGTTACAATTATTTGATAAAAAAAATGCTCATTTTTACATAAATGTGATAACAACTATATAAGGAATCAAAACTCTAATATCATGTAATTTTTGTTATTAATATGCATTGAAATCATGACACTAAAATTTTTCTTTTCCAAATTTGCATAAACATTTCAAAACGTTTAATTGAATGAAATAATATAAAATAAATGTAGATAACAAGTAATAGACCCAAAGTCAATGATATTAGGGGTAATTTAGACATCTAAAAATACCAATTTTGCCAAGTCGTACTTAATTATGGATATTGCTTAGTTGGAGCCTAGTCATTGAGTTTTTATTAGAAAATTTTACAATTGTGGGTTTTAGTTAATGAAAATTGAATTTCAAGTAGTATACTCATATTTTGATAAAGTATTTTTTACTATATTCGTAAAAAAGTACTTTTATCGTTTTTGAAAAAGCAACTGCTATGAGCATATTTAGCATTGATGCTTCCAATTTTCAATAAAATTTCAAAAATGTGTTTAACCACTTCTGGCAAAAGTGCTTATGAGTATACAGTATACTTACTGCTTGCTCTGGCACCGTGTGGGCTGGCGGCAGCCAATGCAGCGGTAGACGTGGCAACATCGGAAGCAAGGCGAGTCATCTCCCCCGACCAATCGAACATTCTCTGAGGGTTCTCCACTTTGATCCGGAACGCAATCAAAGCGTCCATTTGCTTGTTCAGAACTGCAGCTTCCTTCATCACCTCGTCAACCTTCGACCTATAAAACTTGTCAACTTTATTAAACTCATTGTCGAGCTTCTTGAAGTACTCCAGCTCCTGAACACCGCCTTCCTCCGCCGCCATCACAAACGTCGTCTGGTAGCTCTCGGAGTCGTTTTCGTTGACGGAGTGAACAAGAATGGCCTGGCTCTCGATGTCGACACCACCAAAGGTGGAAGACGAGCTGCTGGGCTGCTGGGCGTGCCTGCTTTTTGTCAGACCGCTGAAGGTTCTGTACAACGCGAGCCTCCGCTTTCGGGCTTGACTGTGGGGCGTGGAAGCGGCGGCCAGTGGATCGGGGTTGTTTCTATGCTTGGAGAGTTGGATTTCTTTTAAGAGGGATTTTAAGTACCCGTAATCCATGTATGCAGCTCTCCATTCCGGCACCATCTGTGCCAAAAATTCCTTCCCAAACTTCATATCCGAAAAATTGTCAAATTTCGTTTTCAATTTTATTTCGGTTTTGAGCACTAAAAAACGTAGGGTTTCAGATTGGTTCTTGATTATATTGCTGTACGTGCATATAAGAAGAGAAGAGCAAAGAGTGGAGTGAGGGAGAGGGAGAAATATCAATGAGCTAATGAGGTGAGCTTTGATGCAAGTGCAGCAACTCTCTTTCTATATATATATATATATATATTTAAGCTACCTTCTTCGGTTTGTTGAGGTTGAAAAATATGGAAAGGAAGTTTCAAAGTATGAGTCAGTCAAAAGTCCATCTAGGTTGGCATGATAGATGAGGAGAGTGAGCTCTCTGAATCTCAGGTGCATGAGAAAGCAGAAGATATTATTTAGAGAAGAAGATAGGCAAAACGTGTCACGTGATTTCCCTTAAGTAGCGTCATTTTCACCTAGCAATTGCATGTAAGTTCATCTGGGGGTAATGACCTAAGTATTATTTATAATTAAATACACACGTTTTGCCTATCTTCTTGTCTTTCACTTACAAGTTTTCAACAAACCAATTTCTGGTTGGACGACAAGAGACAAATTTTAACCCAATTGTCCACGTTATATATAATCGTAACCCCACTTGGCTCAAGGGCAAATGCTAGTCGATGCTTTGATTTAGTACTGGTTTGGTAAACACTTAAAAACATGTTATTTTCACAATTTTGGGTGAAAAAAAAAAACTAAAAACATGAAGCAACAAAAATAAGTTTATTCTCACAATACAGCAGAAGCAGTTTTTTTCTGTTGGAATATATTAGTATTTTAGGTATTATATTATTTGGGTTTTCTTATAAGTTTAGTTTGGGCCTAGCCTGTTAGCATTAGGGTTAAGGTTAGTTTATTATAAATAGAGTGCTTTGTTATTCATTAGAAATCAAGCTAGTCACAATGTAACCTCTTAGGGTTTTGTAGCCGTTCCGGCATTCTCGTTAGTTTAATAATATTCTTATTATTTTGTTAATTTCGTTCGTTGCGCACTCTGATATTCAACTTGGTATCAGAGCGGGTTCGATCCTTAGGGTTAAATCCGTTCTCGTTGGTATCAATTTGTTTGTATCAGTTTTGTTTCCATCATCTTCCGTTGTTTGTGTTTTTGTTTTAGATTTCTTAGTTGGTATTGATTGTATGCAAGGAAAAAAAAAGGAAAACAGAAAGGTTTTGCTGTTTGTTCGCATGAAAAAAAAAAAAAAATGGGAAGGAAGGAAAGGATAGCAAAAAAAAGCAAAAAGAGAAGGAAAAAGAAAAACAATTGTTTGTTGTTAGTTTAAGGTCCACGGGCAACAAGAAAAAAAATGGTGAAGTTTGTTTTTAGGTCCACACGAGTTGTTGGCCTGTTTGTGATTGTTTTGTGATCGTCATTCGAGTACTTGGTATTGTGACCACTCGAGTGATAGTATTTGTGTTTGTTTGTTTGTTGCTACAATTGAGATATGAAAATCTCGTCCGTTTAGTGACGGGTTCTTTCCATACTCTCAACACTAGCCAATTTGAACTAGAACCAGTTTGCCAGCCAGAATCAAGTCAAGAATCAAGAATCAAGAACCAGTTTGCCAGTCAAGTCAAGTCAAGTCAAGTTTGCCAGTCAAGTCAAGTCAAGTTCGCAAGTTCGCCCGTTTGCAAGTTCGCCAAGTCAAGTCAAGTCAAGTCCAGTCAAGTCAAGTCAAGTCAAGTCAAGTCCAGTTCAGTCAAGTCAAGTCAAGTTTGCATGCCTATCAATCCGTCTAACGGAGCCAGTCCGCATCTGCTTGGTTGCAAACCCATGTCGTAAACCGCCATGAGTTTGACGGAAGGTGTTGGAATATATTAGTATTTTAGGTATTATATTGTTTGGGTTTTCTTATAAGTTTAGTTTGGGCCTAGCCTGTTAGCATTAGGGTTAAGGTTAGTTTATTATAAATAGAGTGCTTTGTTATTCATTAGAAATCAAGCTAGTCACAATGTAACCTCTTAGGGTTTTGTAGCCGTTCCGGCATTCTCGTTAGTTTAATAATATTCTTATTATTTTGTTAATTTCGTTCGTTGCGCACTCTGATATTCAACTTTTTCTTCAAAGCACAATAATACCAAACCAACCCTTAATCTTCTTAGAAATCAAAAGTTCACCACTACAAAGTCAAGGCACCCTGAGAAAAATACTAGTGCCACAATAATAAATTGACTACTCAAACCTGATTGGCTACATGGCACAGCTCTTAATCATTACACTGGCTTTTTAGCCAAAATGGTTTTTGAGATTTGCATAACTACTCACTTTGATCCTTAAGATTTGAAATCAATAGAATTGGTCCTTGAGTTTGTCCACCATCAATCATTTTGGTAATTCCTCGAAAAATCTCCGTTAAATAAAAGTAAAATGATAAAAACACCCTCAAGTTTTGTCAAATCAATTTGGCCCATTGTTTATTAAATTGAGGATATTTTTATCATTTGGTCCCTAATTTTTTAAGGAAGGATCAAAATGAATGATGATGGACAAACTCAGAGATCATTTCTATTGATTTTAAATCTCATGAACCAAAGTGATGAATTATGCAAATCTCAAGGAACATTTTGGCTAAAAAGTCTATTACACTTGATTCCATCTTAATTAAACCCTAATTAATATGTTTTCACATTTAACTAAATATAAATTTATTTTTTCTTTTGTCAAATTTGTTTCGTTCACGTTTAAAAAATATTACTTATTCGCCACTTAGTACTATGGTGGGGTTTAGTGGTATTTTTTTTCACTTGTAAGTAAGAAGTCTAAATTCGATTATCGCCAAATACAAATTTGAACCACATTATTATGGTTGATCTATTGTGAAGCTTAGCACACTCCTTTACTCCCTCAGTATAGACACTACAATTTGTTTAAAAATAATAATATTAATAATATCGGTTATTAAAAAAAATCACTTATTCAATGATAGAAAAGACTGCTATATTTTATCTTTTTTAATTACAAGAGACTTCAAAACTCGAGCAAAACCATATTGATTTTATTTGTAAATCTCATATAAAATGTTATTCATAGAATATTATAAAATTTCTATATTTAGCGAATTAATACCTAATAGAAAATGAAACAAATATAAATACATTACCACACAATCTTATGAGCTAATGCTAAGGAGATCAACTTTTAAAATCAAATTTGATATAAAAAATTTGATTTAAAAAGTTTGTATACATAGCATTACTCGACTACAAAAAAGACACAAAAATAAAGTGTTTAATAAAAGGTTGATGTTTTGAAAACTTTAACATGTGAGAAACCCCACAGGGGTCAAGTAATTCACGGCATGACATTTCTTCGCGGATTCACTTTCAAAATATTTACCCTACCTTCGACCAACCAACGTGTGAAAATCTGAACATTTTACCCAAATTGTGATGCATATAACAAGTATGTCTAAGACATCAAAAGGAGCACCTGAATCACAAATAGCTTCAAGGTTTATAAACCCAGAAATACAGAGGTAATTAATCAAGTATACTTTGTATTCTTTGATTTTACAGGACGCTTCTCATCAGGGACGTCATTAGGAACATTGTGTTTGGTGATCAAGCCCTTCAATCTCCCCATGCTTTCTTCTTTCACACAGAACAGTTGCTCAGGAAGAACATATCGTAAGCGACAAGTTTTAGTGTAAATATATCGTCGTATACAAACAAATTAGACTTAAAAATTCTTTTTCGCTGTGTTATAACGACAACTAGTACAACAAAAATGATAGAAAAGACTCCTATTAATCCATTGAACGGCTCCGAAAACGAGTTTATAATCAATAGTTAGGCGAATTCTCGTTGCTGTGTGCATTGACCAAAATCTTAATCTGCTAGAAGAACTGAAGAAGCAAAGCATTTAGGAAGAGCCCGTGCGAAGAAATATGGATGGTTTAAGTTTATAAGATCTAAAAGCTCAATAAAGGCTGCTATAAATTGTCCGAGTTTTCAAACCGTCTAATCTATAGCCAATTTCTTACTCATAACCCAACCCACTAAAATGGGTTATCCCTTTCTTGCGAAACCCATTTTGAGTATACTTCCTAAGAGAAATACTAAAAGACTTTCAAAAGTGCGACTCATGAATTCTCTGACACTTTAAATTTTTAGTATAATATTTTATAATGTTGTCATAGAATGCGAAAAATCACGTTAAGTGTGAGGTAGCAAAGAGTCAATGAAAAGTTCTACCTTGAAAGAGTTTCCGTAGCATTTCTCTACTTCCTAATTTGCAACCAAATTCACACTTTTTTTTTTATCTATGGTAAAATAATCTGAATAGGCCATGTTTCATTTTCACGCCTACAAAATAACATGCAATTTGAAGGATCAGTTGCCAAAACAGATGGAAATTTTTAGGGAACTTTAACGAAAAGTTTCTGGTACTGTTCATTTTAACGAAAAACCACATTTTTACACTAAAAAGTCAATCATGGTACTATTCACTTTACTCTATATTTTGTCATTATCGATAAAATTCAAAATTTTCAAACCCTTTTCATTAGTTTTCCTAATTTTTTAACAATAGACTTTTTAAAGTGTTGGAACGTCCACAGCTGTTTGGTTGGAATTTTGTATTTTTATTTCCTTCTTTATAAATAACTTTTTTCCACTTTTTTTTTCCCATAATGTATTCTCTTTTTTTTTTTTCCACAAAGTTTGTATTTTTTTCCACAAGGTAAGGTAAAGACTGCTTAGTGTGTATTTTTCGTTATTGATTTCCCCAAAACAATCGTCACATATACATTCATCCGATTCTTTATGAAAGACAGTCAGTCCATCAAAATAAAACTTAAAGTGGGTATTTATGCTATTCATGTCCTTTATATGAAAATAAAAGGACAAGGACCCATTCCAACTTGTAAGTTGAACCCGAATTACAAATTTTAATTATTTAATACTACAGTCTATTGGTATTACTCTTCAATCGTAAGTGAATGAGAAGTTTTTTGTTCGATCCTCATCAAAAGTAAATTTGAAATATATTATTATTAACCGGTTGTGAGACTAAATTCACTCATCTCTTTTAATATAGATTATTGTTTGTTCCTAAATAAAAAATAAAAAATAAAAATAAAAAACCTCTAATGAGAAATAATGCGTACGGAAATTATTTACCCACACCAGGTTTTTTGTTTTGTGGGAAGTGGCAAATTGTCACATTTGTGTACCTGAACAGTATGTATTAGTGCAAATTGTCACATTTGTGTAACTGAACAGTACGTATTAGTGCAGTCAAGATTATACACATCTCAGACAAAAAACCGTGAACATTTGATTAACAGTTGATAACGTATCAAGATAATCTTATCCACATGCAAATTCTATAATCCATCACATATGTTGAAACGCACTGCAAAAATCTAGAGAGAGAGAGAGAGAGAGAGAGAGAGTTACAGAGAGAAACAATGGACACTCTCTTCACTCTATCTTCTTCATCCTCCAATTTCATCTTCCCCACTCCAAGAACAAAGCTTTCACTAGCAAAACCACCAACCCATCCCAAGAATCCCGTCCGCCTTGCCGTCACCGCTCTTTCCTCCCCGCTCCAATGCGACCCGTCGCTCCCTCCGCCGGTCCAAACCTTCTGGCAGTGGCTCCGGGACGAAGGCGTCGTCTCAGCCAAGTCCCCTGCCGCAAAGCCCGCCCTGGTCCCCGAAGGCATGGGGCTCGTCGCCCACCGAGACATTTCCAAAAACGAGGTCGTTTTGGAGGTACCCAAGAGGCTCTGGATAAACCCAGATACCGTCTCGGCCTCCGAGATCGGAGGTGTCTGCAGCGGGTTGAAGCCGTGGGTGTCGGTTGCTCTGTTTCTGATCAGAGAGAAAAGCAGAGCCGATTCCAAGTGGCGGACTTACCTTGATATCCTTCCAGAGTCGACCAATTCGACTGTGTTCTGGTGGGTTTTGGGTGATTTAGTAATTTTGTTTAGTGGCAATTTCAGGTTTTTAATGGGTATGTGGATTTGATTGTGGGGTTGATAAAGAGTTTGTCTTTGATGGGTTTCAGTGCAGGTCAGAAGAGGAGCTTGATCAGCTTCAAGGTTAGCCACTTTAACTGAAATTCATTAGGCCATGTTTGGAAGTACTTGTAACAACCATAAAAAGCACTTCCAATAAATCAAAATCGCTTCTAATAACAATTGGCATAAAAGTTAAGAAGTGTTTCTAGGTTAGAAAAGCACGTAGAAGTATTTTTTGTTAGAAAACCACACCTGGAAGTGCTTCTGGGTAAGCAAAGCACCTTAAAAGTGCTTTTTAGAAGAAGCACCTGCTTCCTTTTAGGGAGCACTTGGTCTTTTTTATTACAAATTTCGACGTGCTTCCAATGATGCTTCATTTGCGTAATGTTAATTAGGCCAATTTTGCTTAAGTTTGTGAGAGGGAGACAGCAAAACGACAGTTTTATCATACCCTTTGATTGTTGCAACTTTGAATCTTTGGTTGGATATGATGGAACTGAGATTTGCAGGAACCCAACTTTTGAGCACAACAATGAGTGTAAAAGAGTACGTGCGGACTGAGTTTCAAAAACTTGAACAAGAAACCATCCTCCCTAACAAACAGCTTTTTCCTTCTCCCATCACACTCGACGACTTCTTCTGGGCCTTCGGCATACTCAGATCGAGGGCATTCTCCCGCCTTCGTGGTCAGAATCTTGTTTTGATCCCTCTTGCAGACTTCGTAAGTTCTTGAATTCCCAATGCGAACACCTCAATCTTCGAACGTTATGATATCTTGGTTTTTTCCTTGGATATCAAGTAACGGATTCTTTTGTCAGATTAACCACAGTTCAAGCATAACCACAGAAGAACATGCATATGAGGTCAAAGGAGCAGCAGGTCTTTTCTCTTGGGATTATCTGTTTTCGCTACGGAGCCCCGCTACCGTCAAGGCTGGTGAGCAGGTGAAGTTTTCCTCTTTCTGTTTTCTTGGTGTTGGGCAGTGGTAGCCTGTGCTCTGCAGCAGGCATCTCATGCTTCTCATTTCTGGACAGGTTTTCATCCAATATGATATAAACAAGAGCAATGCTGAGTTTGCTTTGGATTACGGATTCCTGGATTCCAACGCTAATCGTAATGGATTTACCTTAACGCTGGAAATATCCGAATCAGACCCATTTTACGAGGACAAGCTGGACATTGCTGAGACAAATGGTTTGGGTGCAACTGCGTACTTCGACATATTTTTGGAGAGTTCGCTTCCACCTGCATTGATTCCTTATCTGCGGCTGGTAGCTCTTGGAGGGACCGACGCTTTCCTCTTGGAATCTATATTCAGGAACGATATCTGGGGCCACCTTCAACTGCCGGTGAGCCCTGCCAACGAAGAGCTCATATGCAGAGTAGTCCAAGACGCCTGCAAATCCGCTCTTTCCGGCTATCCCACCACTATCGAAGAGGTATGTCTTCATTCCTTCGTACATCTGCATGCTTTGGTACATTTGTAACAACTGAATTACAAATCTTTCGTTGCAGGATGAGAAGCTGAAAGAATCAAAACTGGATCCAAGGCTTGAGATTGCTGTTGGAATAAGGCAAGGGGAGAAGAAGGTGCTGCAGCATATTGACGGGATTTTCAGGGCCAGAGAATCAGAGCTACCTCAACTGGAATACTACCAGGAAAGGCGTCTCAAGGATCTCGGCCTCTGCGGGGAGCTCGAAGACATTGTCTTCTGGGAACCCAAGTAGGGAAAATTCATGTCACTAAGAGAACAGTCATAAACTAGTTTCATCTATTGACAAACGCTTTCGTCTATATTCGTGTTATTTGTAATTTATATAGAACTGAACACTCGATTCGTGTCAATTTGTGAAATACATGAGAAAACGAAAGAATCATATGGACAAATTGATAGATTAGAAACGAATGAATACATCTTTGGACGCCCAAATGGGGAACTCGAATCCTTTTTATACCGTTCCCTACAAAACTCTCGTGTGTGTGTGTACATGCTTTTACTAATATGAAAAGCCACATCGATTTGTTTACCCCTCTCTTCAAGACAATTCTGTGGAAGGTTGAATCCCGATTTGATCGCTCGCAGTCACCCGGTTTTACTTGAGTTGCCAGGGCTAAGCAAGTCGTCGCAATTTGGTTCCTCGCAGAGGCACTCCTGCGGATTTGCATAAAAATAGTCTTCCTCCTTCGGCCTGTCTGCAATAACTCTGCGTCGAGTTGGCTGTCCCATTGTTTTCTCGTGTATGGATCGTACAGCATCTGAAAATTCATTCCATGAATGTGTTCCATTAAGATGCAAGTCCAACAACTCCACAAGTCTTTTCCTATCCAGCAAGATGCTTTTTTTAAACCCAAGGTATCTGCACGAAATATAGTTAGAGGTGTGTTTATTATTTTATGATACAAAACCCTACACCGCCTTGTGAGAGTGTTTGCATACCTTCGATGACCTTCAACAAGTTTCGCCATGTTCCCATCATATGTAGGAACAAAAGTATTACTAGCTACCGCAACTATAAAATCCAAAGCTGCCATTTGAGATGAATGATTCTGAAACTGTTGCAACTCCTCCGGAGCAAGAAGCGTTTCCTTCTTAACCTGAAACAGACAAGCAAGATGACCGAAGTGTTTCAACAACCATTCAGTGCAAGAACTAATATAACGAGTCCCAAACGTGCAACAGTAAAAAGACATGATACATATTTTAGAAAACCAACTCACAATCTGTGGAAATGCAGCTCGTAGCGGGCCCAGTCTCCTTTCACTACCATAAATATCACCAGCTGCTATATAGATTTGTGTGTCCGTACTAAAACCCAAAGCTTGCAAAATTAATGCACTCTCCTCGGGTGTTAGAGGACACAGACCTTGAGATCTCTTCTCTTCAGACACTATCTCTTTCTCTCTCCACCAAGGATATGCGTATCTGAATGAAACGTCCACCAATACATGTTGCATGTAAGTCAAGCTCAATTTTTTTTTTTTTTTTTTGCTAGGTACAATAAAGTTCAAAGCATGCCTCTTTATCAAGCAAACCATAATAAAGTAATACTAATGAAGATTGTTTGTTGCTTGAATTTCAAATAAACATTCCACAAAACTAATGGTCAAATTTTGAACACAACAAACCTTAATCGTTTGAGCTCGTCAGCTTCTTCCTCAGTGCAGCCATGAGTACAACCTGAGAAAGCCAACATGTCCATCTCGTACCTTAGATGCAAAGCCACATAAGGTCCCTTTTCTTGAAGTATACGAACCAATTTGTACCCTAAAGCCTCGATCTCAGGAGTGAACTTCAGTGCCTGGAAATTAACACGACACCGGAGTTTCTGAAGATCAGGAGGTATCAAATTGTTTGCCAAACGTGCATCTGTTCTGTTAAAGTGCACCACCTTATGCTTGCTAATAAGTGGCAAAATCTGCATAACAGAATGAAGACACTGAATCAGGATGCGTTACTGAAAAGTTGAAACTTCTGCATACAGAATCAAATGCATTCAATCGGTAAGCAGAGAAAACAGATAAACTATGAAGCCCACATAACAGAGACATAAAATATCTTTTATCACACTACAATTTGGAATATGCATTAGTTACATCTCTATGTTAGGCAAAAGTGAATTGTATGTTATCCATAGGATGATAAATAGTTAACAAACCAAGCTATAGAATCACCAATTTAGTATTCAAAAGACCAGATACTTTGTTGGCCAAAATAACTGGGAAGAGAGGACACAAACCTGTTCCAGGTAGTATTTTTCGTTTGACCAACTAATAGGAGGCATCTGGAGCGGCTTATATCCATATTTTCTACTAAACATTTTTGGAAGTCTTCTGACAATTCGAACTTCATCTCGCAGTGAATCAATGAAATGTCTTACATCAAAGATATCCTCAAAATTACTGCAAAAAAATACCAATAGTTGAAATTAATAAGCATAAGCGAATGATTTTTATATGTCACGGTTTCATTCAGACCAAGGACTATTACCTAGGATCAGCCCAGAAAGATGTCTTATCAAGCTCTGGAACAACCAATGTAAGATTTAAAAGCCGGGCAACTGTGACCATGTCACAAATCTGAGATGCAAAAGCTTATGTCAATAGCCAGACATAGGATAAAGTAACAATGAAAAATAAAGAAGAAAACAGCACAAACCGCAGCACGCATTTGATTCAAGCCCCCATTGCAGGAAACTCTAAGAAACCCATTACTTGTATAATTTCCTGCAAAACTCAGGTCATTAGGCATACATATCTAACCAGGCTCCAGATACTACAACAGAACCGAACATGCAGTCAGAAAATCTTACGGTCTCACCACACAACCTATTTGACAACATTAAAACCTTGAAATAACAAACTTCTCACAAAAGCAAATTTTAATTTCAACAAAAAAGAGTTCCAAAATTATAGTTCTTGTAGGCATTCTTTCATGCGTCATTCCAACTGCCACTCACCTCATACAAGGTGCCGAGTCTGCAGTGAAAAATATTAGACAACAACGACGTATATGAGCACGCCTAACCATAAACAAATTCTCCATCAATAACTAAAAACAACCTACTCCCTCCTCCTAACCTCAAATGATCCAAACTTAAACAAACAATCCTCCAACGCTGCCAAATCGGTTTGCATTCCTCAATCGAAAAATCAATTTCATGGCCTAAACTCTGAATTCATGAACAAAATCCGGCAACATTTACAGAACTCAATTGAAGTAGTGCACTACTCTCAAATTAAAACTACAGCAATTACATTCATGCTCAACACAAGTGAAACTAACAAAATTATCTGCACTACAAAACAATTTAAGTTAAACAAAAAACAGAGCTTTTCTTTTTAATCTAAAAACTCACTGGCGGGGAGAAGAGGCGGCGGCGAGGGAACCGCAGGAAGTGGAAGCTGCGTGATTTCGGATATCCGATGGGTTATATTGGAGACCAAACGCGGATGCCATAGCTCCCCAACCGCCACTAACTGGACCAAACACGTCCACAGAAACAAGCTCGAACACACCCGAATGAACCACACCTGCAACCGCGTCCGCCCAATCACCGGCGCTGGAATCTTATCGCATCGCACCTGTAAACCGCCCTCAGATCTAACCTCCATTCCTCTTTCACAGACCACATCGCCACTTCATCGATCGTTTCCGAAAATCCCAAAAAAAGAAAAGAAAAAAAAAAACCAATTCAAATTCAGCTCATGCAATCCCCAATTTCAATCCCGCATTTCCGAATCAAACACACTTGGGAGCCGTAAAAAGCCCAGATTTTGAAACGGGAACAAGTTCGAAACTCTGTGTGAAAAATCGGTGCGGAGAGGCAGGAGGTTGAAATTTCACGAGTAAAATGGATGACCCAATTAAAAATCTCAACGACCCAATGCGACCGCCAGGCCCTTTTTTATTTTCCTTTTGCTTCCTCCTTTTTCCGTGAAAAATCTTCCAATTTTCTCAGCAACGCGCTATGAACTCCTTTTTAGTAAAAAAAAATTTTAAAAATGAAGAAAATAATTGAGGAACATTTGGTTGGTTAGATTCAGGTTTCGTCCTAAGTTGCAAATTTTAACAGCAGTTTTTTACTTTTTACAGTTTTACTTACTCGTCTGATAAGTGCTGTCAATTTTTACTATTAATTTTTTGAATTTTAGCTGTCGATATTTTTTTATTTGGTTTATTAAAGTAGACAGTAAATTGCAGTGGAAAAACCAAGATCCACCTTTAATTAGCTGATGCTCGTTCTTTTAAATTAAGAAATAAAACAAAATTAGATGGATTTAAATTATATACTTTTAGATTTGGCACGCAGCCAATATATTTCCTTTGTAACATAATTATATTAGGATAAATCCAAACTATGTTACCAAATTTGCTATGTATTTATTTGATATATAAAGTCCAAATTATCATAAAAATAAAAAATTAATGGTGTTTAAAACTTTAAAACATGCATGTCTTTGCAATACACAATAAAAAATTAGAGTAATAGTCTCTGAATTTTAGCTCAATTAGAATTTTAGTCGCTAAACTAAAAATATGTGAGTACTAATTCTTGAATTTGTTATGATGTGGAATAATGATTTTTTTAGCTAATTCTGTTAGAACATCCATCCAAATAAAAGATTTAAAGAAACAAAAATAGTGGAAGCTAAAACTCAAATTTCTTCATATAAAATCTGATATAACTTTTTTACTTGACTAGACTCCACTAAGTAGAGTCATTAATTATATTTAACTTTACACATTATACGTTTTTCAAATGCCTAAAATACCTCTAGTTGCATGTTCAATGTGCACAATTAATTCTATGTGGATTTTAAGTGGTACAAAAAGAAAAATGAAAAAAAAAACACTAATATTGTAAATTCATTGCATGTTACATGAGAGTTTATTATTTTCATGTTTTGTAATTAATTTGGTTGTAATTGATCACGTGCATTCATGTTTCTCTCACTCTCACTCCAGAAAATCTACTTCTAATTGATATAGGAATTAGCTTAGCTGAATTCCTCCATCCCTTAGTATAAAAATATCGATGTACTCAAAAATAAAAAATAAAATTGAAATAGGAATTAATTAAGTAAGTTTTCTTAATCTCAACAACATTTTTCAATTTAAACATACTTTTTTTTAGTGAAATAATTTATCTATTAAATTGTTTATTAAAAAAATAATTGTACCTATAATTTTACAAGATCATTTATCTACCGTATTTTTGGATATCTCATTTCCCTCTTACGCCAAGTATCCTTACCTCCATTTTTTTTTCAAATGAAAACTAATAAAAAAAACTTGAAAATTTTGAGTTTTAACGATAAAAATAAAATAAAAGATTAAGTGAATAGTACCATAATTGATTTTTTAGTGTAAAAATATGATTTTTCGTTAAAATAAACAGTACCGGAAACTTTACATCATAGTTATCATTTTTGAATGAGTGAAGCGGGCAAAAAGCAGTGTGAAGCAAAGCAAGGGGCAAAAATGTCATGAACCATGAAATCATGGTAATGTACCTATAATTTTATAAAATAAATTCCAAATTGATGTAAGATGCTGAGCATTTCTGTATAATTCTCACATATATAATTATTTTCTTTGAAACTGCTGTTATTTAATATATGTGCATTCAATTCTGAAAATGATCGTACACTTGGGTACCGTTTGGTACGTGGGACAGGACGGGACAGAACGGGATGAGCCGTTCCGTCCCACGTATGGTGCGTCTAAAAACTGTGGAACGGGTTGTCCCATGGGACAAAATTTGGCTAATTTTTCGTTACATCTCTTCCCCCTGGAACGACCTGTTCCACATCCGTGGACACAAATTTATAACATTTTATAACAAAATTTCTGCTTATTTTTTTCAATATTTACATCATCCGTTCCATCTTGTTCCGTTCCATCCCGTCCTATCATATTCCGTCCCGTATGCTTACCAAACAGTACCTTGCAGATCGACGGAGACACAGCACGTATGAATGCGATCTGCAATATTAACACTGTCAGACTGGCCAGTGGATATGTAGGCTAAGCTGGCAATTTCCGGATATATACATTCTTCGTAGCCACTTTACTCCGCGTAAAATGTTTATTCAACGAGTTACTGTCAGACTGGCTAGTGGATATGCAGGCTCACGTGAAATAAATGTCTTAGCGCATGAAAAAGATAAGATATATGCCCTTAGGTTATTGTTATGGACATTGCACAGCTAAAATAAGGTGTTAGAAATTATCTCGTTTGCTTACATGGCGTGAGACCATCCCATGTAATGGGTTTGGACTTTGGTACTCCCAAATAGGCTAAAGACTACATTATCGAATAGTATGGCCTAGTGTATCTTTGTAAGGCCATCTTCAATCGAACGAGGGCTAAATGGCTCGTTTTAACCTTCTGGTTCTTCAAGATATTAATATTTTAATGAACAATACATGGTCATATTTGCCTCCATCTCCAACTGAGGGCCAAAGGCCAGAGGGCTCGTTTTAGCCCTGTCACAAAAAAATATCTTCAACCGAGGGCCAAAAAGCTATAGTATGGAATGTGAAGAATTGAAATAAAATAAAGTAAGACAATATGAAATGGTGAAAAATAAGTTAGAAATGGTGTAGGAAAAAAAATTAAAAAATTAAATAACCCCCCCCCCCCAAAAAAAGGTGAGTTATTAAAAAACAAAGTGGGCTTGGATCAAAAAAGTTCCTAAACCCTAAACCTAAAGTGGCCTGAAAGCCCTAAAGTGGGTGGAAAGAACAAAAAAAACAAAAACAAAAAACAAAACAAAATGGGCTTGCTGGCTAGCTAAATATGGCCAACCGGTTGGCCCTCTAGCCCCTTTTTTGTCCCGTGGGTCGCACAGCCCTTTGGCCTAACCCTCGGTTAGAGATAATTTTTGGACTATTTTCGACCATCTGAACCCTTCGGTTGGAGATTGTCTAACCTTCCACACCTCAACCCCTCTAGCAAGCTCCATAAAACCCACATATCTTGGGTCATGTGAGTTTGGTAGATGTCGGGTTAAAACAAATGTATTCGGAATGACATGATATATTTCTTTATTTCGTGTGGCATGATAATTAATCAAAATTTGTGTAAAACCTTACTTAACTACTAATTTTTTTTTTTCAAATAAATATGTATAATGTAATCTGGACAAGCATGGGGTCATACAAACGCACATAGCAATTGGTCTTCAATCCACTTGGGCTTTCCTGTGCAATTTTTGGATCCCAACAATTTCATGAAGCAAAATTTGCACCATAACTATAAGCAATATGATGAACATATGTGAAGTACAGAGAAGCACGGGAAAGTAAAATTCAACAATCACAATGTTCGTCAGTTGCTTGGTTATCATGTTGTTTGTTTGCAACCCTAAGAATGTCCGAAAAAACAAAAAGAAATTTTCTTAAGAAATCACTAAACTATTTGCTGTATTGCACTCCAAACTTTTTTATAATTAGAAAAAAGAATACATGATTTAAAGACACGAAACTTGACGTAAGTGGTCTTTTACCATAATTGTGAAAAAGTGTTGAGTCTTTGTATAACTGCATAGATTCGAATCATATCAATGACTAATCTAACAAAATCTATTTTTTGTTAAAAAAAAAAAAAACGAAATTTGACACAAATAAACCACTCATGGTTAAATTCCAAAACCGGCCTATTAAATTTATTAAAAAAAAAAAAACAAGAAGTCCAACACAGCAACCTTTGCAATTTACGTGTATCAACGAATGACGAACAAACACGTGTTCAAAAAGCTGACATGGCCTGGCCTAAATCAAAGCAGGCCCAAACGGCCCAAACCGTAAAATCTGCACAAACGAAGGATTCCAGATTCTCTGACTCACCTCCGAAGAGAACGAAGAACACCCCCCTCCCCCTTTCCTCTCGGTTTCTCTCCGAGTCGCCGCATTTTTCCCACCCGAGTCATCCCTCAGTCAGAGCAATGGTCGGATTGCGCCTTCTGCTTGCTGCCGTAATCGCAGGGTTCTTATTATCTACATCCGAATCTCTGCGGTTCGAGCTGCAATCCGGTCACACGAAATGCATCGTCGAAGACATCAAAACCAACGCCATGACCGTCGGAAAATACAGCGTCGTCAACCCCAACGAGGGTCAGCCCATGCCCGATTCCCACAAATTGACCGTCCGGGTACGCCTTGATTTCTTCAATTTTTCTACCCAAATGTTGAATTTTTAAGAGTTTTATTTTTTGTTTCGAAACAATTATTGGGTTTAATTGTATTTGTATATATGTATAGGTGACGTCTCACCACGGGAACAACTATCACTACTCGCAGCTGGTGGAATCGGGGCAGTATGCGTTTGTGGCGGCGGAGGAGGGAGATTACATGGCTTGCTTCTGGGCGCCGGATCACAAGCCCCAGACGACGTTGACCATTGAATTCGATTGGAAAACCGGCGTCGCCGCCAAAGACTGGTCCAATGTCGCTAAGAAAGGCACCGTCGACGTAAGCATCTTCCTACCCTTTCTTATTTTTTGAATTTTGTATTAATTTTCAGCTGAATTTAGCTCGTTTTAATCACGACATTGCTATGGATTTAGCTTAAATACTGTTAACTGTGTAGTAATTTTGTTTAATTTTTATCTAAAACAGATTGTTAATACAAATGATTTATGTTTAACCATTACTAGTAATTGAAGCTTGTCTGCTAATGTAATTGTCAATAAATCTGATTTTATCAAATCAACAAGCTTTCCCTCATACTTTTCTGAATAGAGCAAAAAGGATGGTGCTTCCTTTCGAATTCAGGTCCTCTCCGGATCTCGCAGTCGGGAGACGGACCTAGAAATCCAGACCGTTCAAGAGAGGGAGAAGGAGAGATGCAGACCTTTGATTTGTGCGAGGAGGGTCTAATGGGGGCTGTAGGATTTTAAAATGAGTGATCTGGATTTTTCGGTCCGTTTGCTCTAGACTGCAAGATCCGGAGGATCTCGATTGATTCGGGTGAACAAAATACGGAAATTGAGGTATTGAGACATTGTCATGCCTTTTTTCTTACATGCCAGGGAATGGAATTAGAGCTTAGGAAGTTGCTCGATACGGTTACGTCCATTCACGAGGAGATGTCCTATCTCCGTGGAAGGTAAGCGACGATTCTCCGTTCTTCGAAAGTTCGAATATTTCATGGCGGAAGTATATTTCTCGTTTCGGCATTTTACGTTTTGTATGCCCAATGTTTGTCTCAGGGAAGAAGAGATGCAGGACCTCAACAGAACAACGAACTCGAGGATGGCCACGTTGAGTCTTCTTTCGCTTTTTGTATGCTTAGCAGTCGCAGGTATGCAGTTGTGGCACCTCAAGACCTTCTTCGAGAAGAAGAAGCTTATCTAATTTATTTCGGGAGGGTTCTGTAGTTCCATCTTTCAATGCTTGTTTTGTAACGTAGTTAACAGAACAATGTATGTTGGGATACGACCGATTATCGGATCACATTGTTAGATGAAGTAGGGCAACCAAATGTTCACTACAACATGTTATGTTTCGTTTGTCCTTCGTTGTAAAGACTAATTACATAAAATTTTAAAAGAAAACTAATGGAAAGAACTTGAAAATTTTGAGATTTAACGATATGAACAAAATAAAAGGTAAATTGAATAATACCTGAATTGATTTTTTAGTGTAAAAATATGATTTTTCATTAAAATGAACAATACCAGAAGCTTTTCGTTAAAGTTGCCAAATTTTAACCGAATTTCTCGATCCTCTGCTTCGGGTGAGAGTACACTTGTAAATCGATCTTGATCAGAAACGCGAGGTTAGACATACCTGGCCTTAGAAACGCGAGATTTGACATACCTGGCCTTAGAAACGGAATCTCCACAAAACGGATATCTCCAACAAGGTCAAGAAAACTCTGCATGATCAGCAAATTCTTCCAAGTTCCGACACAGTTTCAAGGTCGAGAACTTTTTCTTCAACCACTAAAGAAAGAAGTGAGAAGAAAACATATAATCCCGAGTCCCGACTAATATACATCTCTTCTCATCGTTACTTAAAGAATAGAACAAATAACGGTTGAAAGATGATAAGGAGATTGTCAAGTCAAAACATGAAAATTCTTACACGTTAATTTGGACAAGTTTGTAAGACAACGACGTACTGTTATGCAGAAAAAAAAAGAGAAAGGAAAAATGCCGTTCACAATAAGAATCTGAAACAGAATAGTAGAACGCTAGTCGCAACAATTACTCTCGCAAGATTTCGCGGTTTAGTCTATTCACAATCCCAGTGCAGATCTGGAACTACAAGTGAGTGGCAGAGGATCACTTTCACTTATGTACCTGGCAACGTCGATACTTTCAAATTTACGCATTAAATATGTTCCAGTGATGGTCTGCTTGTAGAACTTTTTCCTTTACCTTCTCAAGCCTTTTGAGAATGTCCAAGAAAGAAGGCCTCTGGTTCATGTCGGCAGACCAACACTGCTCTATTAACCTGTAAAACAATCGACGGAAAGAAGTAAGCAACCCGGATTTTGAGCTTTAGTGGATATAAGGATCCCGAATGCCACTCTTTCGGAATGATGTTAAGGTAAGAGATACAAAATGCGAAATTTTGTTGAACATGTGGACGTAGTTTTGGATTTAATTCAAAGATGGGCAATGCAAGTGGAATAACACCAACGAAGGGAACATTTTGGATGGCTGAAAAATTACAGAATCGACTTACTCTTTCAGTTCCGGGGTGTGACCTTTTCCATGAAACAAAGGCCTGTGTCCTTCCGCCACATATTTGGCTGCTTCATAAGGCTCGTAATTCGAAAGTGGTGGGTCCCCTTCAAGCATCTGCATCAGTTGAGAGTGTTATAAACCGGGCCTGGAATTGAACAATTTGACATCTTTTCCTTTAAGGGTTAATCTGAATTTGATATCTAGCAGAAACCAACTTTACCTCGTATAGTATCATTGCAAAAGAGAACACGTCAACCTTCTTATCATATCTCCGGTGCCTAAAAACTTCAGGAGCCATATAGCGGTCTTTTGTTTGTTCCGAGGCAAAACACAAAGAACGAGTTTTATTGCAATAATTTATTTTATTTAATAGTAACTTGTACTCAATATTGAACTTTTCAGAAGACACTCACAACTTCCAGTTTCGCCAGTCATCTTGTATACATCATGAGAATTCTGAACCTTGATGAGCTTGCTTAATCCAAAATCTCCAACTTTTAAATGGTCGGCACTAGAATTGACTAAGAGAACATTCCTGAGATAAATAAACAAAATTCAGAAGTACAAATAGAAAATACTGCGAGCAAGCCACATTTTCCCAGTGATGGAAACAGACTAGAGAAATAGAAATGGAAACTCATAAAATTGTACAAATCCAAAGTTTCTTTCATCCTGTGCAGACACATCATCTACGCCATTGTATTAATGAAAGACATTCTAGCATAAAAAATCAACTTACCTTGGTTTTAGGTCTCGGTGAATTATAACATTTGGCTCATTGTGAAGATAAGCCATGCCTCTGGCCATGTTGAAATTTAGAAATATTAGTAAAATTGTCAAAAACGACTGATTTCTACATGTTCATAATAGTAAAAAGTAACCGTTTTTTTTAGATTAAGAAAAGCACACATTTTCATGTAATAGTATGATTCCAGTCTCTGCATTTTCCAAACAGCAGATGTACTGAAAACTGAAATTGGAGAATCTACTAATTTTATAGCCTTATTTTCCTTCAATGGAATGACAACATCAGCCATACATCTCTGCATGAGAAACCTCTTTCATGTCCGAAAGGGTTGCTTAAACTAAGGCAATAAGTTGATTGAACTTTTATTTAAGTACCTGGCAATATCCAAAGCAAAGTTAATTGCCGTTGTAGGACTAAGTGCACCCTTGTCCTTAAGGTACTGATGAAGATCACCCTAAAACAGTAAACTATACGTTAATTAAGAAGCAGCGTCTTTGCAAGACACATTTTAGAAACCACTATCAAGAACTCTGACGGAATTCCAAACATAAATCAAATATGGAGAAGTATACCCCTCTTAAATACTCCGTTATTAGCATAAGGGGCTTCTTCTCAGTGACTGCTCCAAGAAATTGGACAATATTAGGATGACGAAGCTTCACTAGCAAATTAACTTCATGCCGGAAGTCTTGGCTGTATCAGGAAAGCAAAGAGCAAGTCAGAAATTTACCTTTTAATATAATGGAAATGTGGGGTAAAGAAAATATGCTGATTGTGATTTCAATTTTAAGCTTTACATTAAGGAAGCCCACCTCCCGGGATCCATAAAACTTGATATATGGAATTGATTGAATAAAGTTGTCAAATTCTAGGAAAGAATGATGCATAAATTGTTTCAAGAGCCCTCTCTTGGCGAACCAAAATTTTGTTCATTTGTCAATCAAACACAGTTCATAAAATATATTAAAAAGAACGAAGTATTCTTTCAAAAGAAAAAATTTCAACAGTAACTCAGTTGTAACCATTTTTTTATCTCGCACATAAAAGTTAAGGTGGAACTTACATCACCAATCTATCACCGGAAAGAGATGGAAGAATGCGTTTGACAGCTACTGGTGTCCCACGCCAATGCGCTTTTAAAATTTCGCCAAAAGAGCCCTACAAGCACCACACATCAGGGTGAGGCCATATCTTGCCAAACACAGCGAGATTATGGAAAAACAGAAGGAACTAGTGCGATAACACTAAATCATGAACAGACCAAAACTACTTCAGCTAGCTAAACAAAGAATAAATCCAAAAGATAAATCGCATAAATCAGCAAGAAACTACATTCGGGAAAATAGGGTCCAACTTAATGGGTTATCTTTGCTCAAAGGAACCTACGCTTTGTAGCCTGCAAATGTTGAACAGTAACTACAGATTATAGTGGGTTGGGGGTAAATATACAGTATGACAACTCGATTAACATTATCGAATAACTGAAACAACGCAACATCTTAAAATCCACAGACGTGAAAATCCAAGCAACAAGATTTACATAGCAGTGCATTACAAAGCAAACCGAAAACTTAAGCAGAACGATATTCTTTTAACATATATTGCAAGATTTGGCCATTCTAAACTCGTAGCTGATAAGAAATTCAGACCTTCCCAATGGTAAGTGAGCTGGAGAAGTCGAGCTCGGACGGTTCAATCTCCCAATCACACTTGTTGGGCAGAGGGGGCGGCACGGGCTTCGGTTCGAAATGGCTCCCATTTTGGCCCTGCAGCATCAATAACACTCAAAACAAAGAATCAGAGCCAATCAAACCAAACAAAATTGAAAGAACTTCACTCCATGAAACGAATTATAGCTATGGAGTTTGGACTTACATAAGACAAGCCACCGTACGATTTCAGAAGCTCAATCATCTTAGGCTTCTTAGCTCCTTCTGCATCAGCCAGGGGCTGCCATCAACATCAACAAAATTAAGACCTGATTAACACATATAATCGTAATTACACACAATAAGCATTGCGTTTACTTTGATTAATAAATTAATTGAATAATTAACAGAAGATTAGGAAGAAGTACAGTGTTCTTCCAGCGATCTTGGGCGTTGACATCGGCGCCATACTCAATAAGGCACTTGGCGACGTCGATCCAGCCGTGGAGCGAGGCGACGTGGAGCGGAGTGCGGCTGTCGTAGTCGCGGGCGTGGACGAGGGATTGATCCTCCTCGAGGAGCTTGCGGACGGCGACGACGTCGTTGTGGTGGGCGTGCCAGAGTATGAGGGAGGTGCGGCTGACTCGGGCCTTCTCCTTCTGCTTGTCCTTGTCGGCCGTGAAAGCACACCCGCCACCGGACGAGTCGGAAGCGTCGGAGCTCATCAGTGAAGAGCGGATCGGAGTTTGGAGTTTGGAATGTGGAATACGGGTCGGCAAATGCTCGTAATTTAATTAATTTTTAATTTATTATCTGTTATTTGTTGTTTTGGTGGAAACGGGAAGGTGGGGTGACTTTTGAGGATAGTCGGTTGGTTTTGTTGGTCATGTTCGTTCACTTTATTGGGTAGGGAGTGCAAATATGTGGGCAATGATTGTATATACAAATATGACCGAGAATTTTTCAGTGGGTCGGAAATACAATATAATAAACGTAACACCTGAACAAAAGACTTCAGTTAATTCTATTATGATACTTATGGTACATATATTTGTGTAACAATACTTTTTATTTTACAAATAGATTAAATCGAAGAGGAAGATTGTTACTGAGCTTTGTCTCAATTCTTCTAAGCATATCTCATATTTGGGCTTTCATGCACTCTCTTGCTCTGATGCTACTTTCTATTGCGTGTCCTCAACCACCAACCACTGCTACTCGGCCTGGGTGCTCCTCCTCGGCAGCGCGTTTGGGTTTTGTGTGGCTATGAAAGTGTTATTAGCACAATTTAGTGGGATTATAGGAGGGCTCATTGCGCGAGTGGCTTGCTCACCTGAATTTTCTGTTAATCCAGTTGTTTCGTTGGTTCGTTCTCTTGGTGGGGGCGGTCCTGCGATGGAGACACATCTAACTTTGTGGTGGCTGGTGGTTTCCTCTCCAACTTTAGGGGTTTCTTCGGTTGTTTTTAAGCCGACACTTTTTGAGCCT